CACAAAAATCAAAAACACCAAAACCCAATAGTCAAAGCTGACAAAGATTTAGGGAGATGAACATTCCCGTCAAGTGCTGATGGGAATGTAAATTGTTTCTGAAGTTTTGCCAACTTATATTAAAGATTCTTGTTATATATAGTTATGCATATTAAAGCATCTTCTCTGGCTGGAAATTCAGATAACTACTGGGTGACGGGTAGGAGTGGAGCACACGCTGGATATGCTCTCTTGAATAGACAAGATAGAAATTTAGGCTAACAATATTCTGTTGAATGGAAGAGATGGAAATTAGAACAACTCCAGAAACAGGAATTATATGAATTATACATAAACTCCTGCCTCATGTAGGCATATAACAACGCATGGGACAACAAAGAAACTCATTTCAGAAATAGGATCTGCTTGAATAATCTGCTCCAAGTGGAGAACCTAAGTCTCCATTATTGTTTACCAAGTCCAAGCCTTTTCCATGCTTTTGCTAACGTCTGTAAAACATCTTTCCTCTTCATCTTTTAGAATATTAAGTATCTTTACCTGGCACTTCTGTAAGCTGTCAGCGGGACTGGGTTCTGATAAGACCTTATTGGAAAGCAATTTGACAATATCCGTTAAAATTTTAAATTCTTTATCCCAGCAATTTCAACTGTGTTGGGGCCCAGGACAGGCCACCCCACAAGGGCATATTGATTATTTTGAATTAAAGTTACTTGAGAAGCAAAAAGAGCATTCTGCCCCTCCTGTCTCTGTTCCCCCTAAAAGCAGGAAATAAATCTTCCATGTGAAAGGTGCTCTCCCAGCATCCTTATCACCACAGCTAGGGAATTCAGGGCCAAGAAGCCTGTTGAAATAAACCTTGCTAATTTACTGCCTCAAGTCTAAACTCTGCTTAAATTCCTCACTAATTACATACCTCAAATCTAAGTCTCTTTGTCCTGTCATTCCTCACAAATTTAGTCTTTCTTTCTGTAAAAGATATCTATACTGCCTGCTTTGTTTACTCTCCGAGCATCATTTCTCTGTGATTTCCAATACATATGTATTAAACTGGCTTTTTCTCCTGTTAACCCGGTCTTGTGTCAATTTTATTATTAGTCCAGCCATAAGAACACAAGAAGGGAAGAAAGGGGATTTTCCTCACCCTGGAAACTGACAAAAACTTATACCAATATATATGTACAATGATATTTCCTGTAGCATGGTAATATTACTTATAAAAAGAAAACAGACAAATCTAAATCCTAAACATCTACCCACAGAGGTGGTTTGCTAAATGATTCTGTAAAATAGAATATAATGCTGCTGCTAAAAAGAATGAGGCAGAGCTTCAAGTGCTGATATGCAAAGATCTTCAAGATATATTATTAGGTGAATTAATCAAGGGGTCTGATAGTATGTACAGTAAGATACTATTTATGCAAATAAAAAAGAATACACATATGCTAATCTATGCATATGCATTTATGTATTTATCAGCAAAGATATATAACAGATTGTTAATGAGGGTTAGCTTTAGAAGAGGGACCAAGGATCGGGAGATAGGGAGTATGGTGAATTTTACTTTCCATTTTCCAATGTTTGCCCTTCTCCAATGTTTGAATTTTTACCAGTGGAGGTATTTTTACTTTCCTAATGTATTTTTGGCATCCTATATATCTTTGAGGATACTTTTCCAATCCCATATTACTCCTGATGTCTTCCATCCTTTAACCATTATACCTGTATCTCTTCTCCCTCTAAATTTCTATACTATGTTTTAATACTCCACAGTGTTCTATATATTGAATAATTAATTTATTCCTTTTCACATGACCAGATGGTGGAATAGATCTTATACTGTTTGCATATCCTCTAGAACAAGGGTGACAAACTTCATTTGTAAAGGGCCAGATAGGAAATATTTTAGGCTTTGTGGGCCAGAAAACCTCTGATGAAACTACTCAACTCTTCCGCTGTATTGTGAGCACAGTTACTGTTGACAATAAGGAAACAAATGTGCATGGCTGTGTTCCAATAAAACTTTATTTATAAATACAGGTGCCAGTCAGTTTTGGCTATGGGCTGTAGTTTGCCAACCTCTGCTCTAGAACAAAGAATAGGTACCAAAAATGTGTGAAGATTAATTAAGGAGACACTTCTCTGTTAATCCCAGCCATGGAATTTTTGTTCTAATTAAACATCAAAATTTTATTTTTTTCTAAACAGCTTGCTCCACCCACTTTTGGCTTCCTACATGATTTCTTTTATCTTTCCTTCCTCAACCAAAGCTACCTTCTATCTAAAAGCCACATATAAAATCAGGAATTTCAGGAAACTTTTCTTTTCTTTGTTAGTCCTCACACTTCACTTTCTTTCATATGATGTAAATAGTTATGTACATATGTTTTAGTGTTTATGACATGCAAATATTAGCTCCGGATTGGATGGCAAACTCCACAGGGAAACTTCTCCAATATCTCAACACCCAGAACTCAGTAAGATGGTTTGCACCTGGGTAAGGCTGGGACTAGAGTGAGATATATGAGGTGCCTAGGGTGCAACATTTATGAAGGCACTCACTCTCAGGGTCATGCAAATGCAGGGCCAGCCTTAAAAAGAAGAGCCTTCTTACACTGCGTGTACTAGGCGCCTTGTTTGCTTCACCCTAGTCCTGGCCCTACAACAAGTAGCCTCAATGCATTCAGAATGACTGACTGTTAGTGAATGGGACAGTCAACATGCTAACTCAGGACAAAGGCAAGGCTCACTTAAAGGAAGTTGGCTGCTCCTTCCAGGAAAGCCCTGGTTGGGAAGCACGTAGCAGAGTCTTAATCTTCTGATACCAAGAGGACAAGCCCAGCTCAGCAAAAAAAAAAGGGAATATCGGAGGCAGACTCAGGGCTCCACGAGATAGAGAAGAGAGGAAACAAAATCTCCATTGTCCTTGCACGGTTTTCACCTCATCCCACCCAACGCCCCTCGGCTGAGAGGGGCCAGAGAGTGCTCTGCCTCTTGCCTTCCTACTGTAGTTCTTCTGCTGTGTTTCCAGTCCTCTGCTTTATTCTTCTCAGAAAAGTCAGAAGAGGAGTCCTGGTTAGAGCGAGAGGAAGCACCCCCTTTGATTCTTCCTCTAGAACCAAACTCTAACTCGTCTGTGTCCTTGCAAGAGAACTCTGCCTTGAAGCTTCTTTAGAAGATCTTGTTTTCCCAGCTGAGTCTCTGGGGCTAAGACTAGCCCAGCAAAGTCAGATGACAGAGAATGAAGTGTTCATTCCACACGTCTAAATGCACTTGCATTGCTCCAGCTCACAAGGGTTGGGCCTCATACCTCTGTGTGCATTTCACACAATGCTTAAGACTTTGCTTACCTTAAGAAATTACTTTTAACAATTCTTCTTTGAGCATCTATGCTATATAAGGAGGTATCTAATAAAAAAGACAGAGAGGAAAAGACCTCTAATATTTATGAACTTACGGTCTAGTAGGGAGCATATAAACAAAAACTATAGTTTACAGTGTAATTTCAAGTGCTTACTGGTGTCTGTTGTAATACAGCAGCGTGAATAGTAGTGGTATCAAGAAAGACAAAAACTAACACATAAAGAACACTCACGAGAAGCCAGGCACCAAGTGAGGTGCTGTTACGTGTTATCTCACAACAATTCTGTGAGGGAAGTGGTCTCCCCCAGTTGCAGGTGAGAAAACTGAGGCTGCAAGGTTAAAATGACTTGTCCAAGATCACACATCAAGTGGGCTACAGAGGCAGAATTTGACCCGAGGTCTGTCAGATTCTAAAGCATGTGCACACTACCATTTTCCCAGGTTATGTAAACAATCAGAAAAACTTACCGTGTAGTAATCATACCAGCGGGCTCTAGGGAAATATGCAGTGACATTTCTGGCATTCTGAAATTAAACACAAACAAGGAATGGGCAGTGGGCTCTGTTATCTTGGGCAGAGCAATCAATTCGCTTAGTAAAGGATCAAAACAATAGCGATGGCCTTGAACCCACATGTCTCATTGCTCTAGAGGTCAGAAATGTTGGGGAAGCCTTCCTTCCCTTCCCCTTCTCAAACAGGGGAGATTTGCCTACTCAAAAATGGTGGCTTTCATAAAACCCATTGGGATCCAGGACTTTGGGGGAAAAAAATACCATTTGCTTATAGACTTACCAATACCCTCTCTAAAAAAAAAACAATCTGAGGTTGGGCTGGGGCAGAAGAAAATTGTGTAGGTTTATGGTGCCAATACTTCAGAAATTATGATCAGTGCAATAAGTTTTGGGGAGTAAGCAATTAATTGATATTCTAATCAGAAGCCTCATCTTCAACAGAGGAAGTAAAGAAAAGGCTGCCTGAGGACCTCTTACAGAAGGAAGGGAAGGGCTAGCCAGCAGCAACAAGATTTTACACATTGCTACAAACAATCTTTCTGAAAGGTTCTGCTTTAATGGTGATAGAGGATTGTAATGAATTCTTTACAATATTGCTCCCACCTGACCCACACTGCTTATTTCAGTTAATGGAGAAATGATTCTATCTTCACATATATCTAAGGTGTTTTCCTTCTTGATTGGCCAATGAATCAGAATTTGTTATGCTGATTTTAAAGGCAAGGGAGCTGAATACCAGAACATCTAAGTGATGGACTTCAGCTCGGAGGGAGAGGAGGAGACAGAGGTAGGATAAGAAACCACCTCTCAGGACCCTCACCAGACCAGGTCTCTTCTCCTCACCCTGTCCACCAGTGTCATAGCTAGGATCCTCTATGCATCAGAGGCTTCCATACTCACAGGCTCCAAGACAGGGCTGATAAGGAAGGCTGGGCCCAGCAGGAACTGACCGTCTATATCCCAGGTCTCCTGGTCTGACACAAACCTGGAAAGGGAAACCAGAGGTAGCACAATGAGGACCACAGGACAAGTTCAGACGCAAGTCAGAAATCTAGTTGCATTCCATGCTATCCTTTACTCTTTCCCTAGGTCTATCTTAATCAGGTACATACTCACTTTCTACAACTCATGTTCTTCAAACCCCAGAAATGGTTGGATTTAGACATGTTCTTACCTATAAATAGTTCCATGATTTTTAACAATGATTTTTAACCCATTTGAAACACAAGAATGGCCTTCATCCCTCAAATATCCCCCTGGAATGTGTTCTCTTGTGACCTGGGCTGCTAAAAAAGATAGGTAGGTCTTCACATGCCCAAATTAGAAATTGCTCTGTGGTGTACTGTATCATTTTGAAAAATATTTTAAATTTAATAGCCTTTTATCAAAGACCTAGGGTATGACTGACATTGCACTAAAAGGAGTGAAAACATGGTCTGTGCCCAGAGAGCTTATGGCAAAGGCAATCATGTCTTTAATTTAATTTGGAAGAATTGTTTTCTTCAACTGCCACCATATAGAATGAAATTATCCCTTAGTCATTGGGATTCCGGCTAGACACTCACTCATGCAGAAGAGGCCGCACAACAGTGCTGCCCTCCGTGTGGGCCAAGTGCATCAAGGTGTAGAGATATGGCAACAGAGTGTATCTGGTCTGCAGGACATTTTTGGAGATATTCACAAAGGTGTCATCCCAGGACACAGGGTCTTGCCTCTAAAGGAAAAAATAAGAATGTTCAGAGCTCACCCTAAGGGACATGGGGGACTTAACAAGGTCACTGAACATTCATTCCAAATGAAGATCACACATAGCTAAACCAAAGATGATTATTGGTGAGACTCAGAATATTTTTAACAGACAGAACGAGGTCACTGAAGCTCTCCCAGGGCAGCTAAGAAAATTTCCCTGTAAGATGTTATTTTGGGGATATATTTGGTACAATACTGCCCAAACAAAAAGAATAATCTAAAGAACACTGAGGAATATGATTCATTGAAACATGAGGATCTTTTCATGTACCTGTTGGTTACTTGTATATCTTCTCTGAAAAAATGACTATGCAGTTCCTCTGCCCATTTTTTAATCAGATTGTTTGGTTTTTTGCCATTGAGCTGTATGAGTGCCTTATATATTTTGGATATTAACGCCTTATCAGATATATGGCTTGTAAATATTTTCTCCCATTCTTTGGTTGCCTTTTCATTTTGTTGATTGTTTCTTTTGCTGTGCAGAAGCTTTTAGTTTGACATAGTCCCACTTGTTTATTTTTCTTTTGTTGCTTGTTGTTTATGCTTTTGGTGTCATATCCAAAAAATCATTGCCAAGAATAATGGCAAGGAGATTTTTCCCTATGTTTTCTTCTAGGAGTTTTACATTTTCAGGTCTTAAATTTAAGCCTTTAATCATTTTGAGTTAATTTTTGTGAGTGGTGTAAGACGAGTTCAATTTCATTCTTCTGCATGTGATTATCCAGTTTTCCCAACATCATTTATTAAAGAGACTATATTTTCTCCGTTGAGTACTCTTGTCTCCCTTGTCAAATATTAGTTGACAGTATATACAAAGGTGTATTTCTGGGCTCTCAATTCTGTTCCATGGTCTATGTGTCTATTTTTATGCCAGTACAATACTGTTTTGATTACTACAGCTTTGTAATATAGTTTGAAATCAGGAAGTGTGATGCCTCTAGCTTTGTTTTTCTTTCTCAGTATTGCTTTGGCTATCCATTGTCTTTTGTGGTTCCATGCAAATTTTAGGATTGTTTTTTCTATTTCTGTGAAAAATTCCATTAGAATTTTGATAGGAATGGCATTGACTTTATAGATGGTTTTGAGTAGTATGGACATTTTAACAATATCAATTCTTCCAATTCATGAACACCAGGTTCCTTTCCAATTATTTGTGTCTTCAATTTCTTTCATCAGTGTCTTATAATTTTCAGTGTACTGATCTTTCACCTCCTTGGTAAATTTATTCCTAAATATTTTGTTGCTTTTTGATGCTATTGTGACTAGAATTGTTTTCTTTATTTCTTTTTCAGATATTCCATTGTTAGTGTAAAGACATGCAACTGATTTCTGTATGTTGATTTTATATTCTGCAATGTTACTGAATTCTTTGCTTAGTTCTAACAGTTTTTTGGTGACATCTTTAGGATTTTCTATATATAAGATCATATAAACTGGAAACAGATAATTTTACTTCTTCCTTTCTGATTTGAATGCTTTTTTTTTCTTTTTCTTGCCTGATTACTCTGGTTAGGACTTCCAGTATTATGTTGAAGAGGAGTGGTGAGAGTGGGAACCTTTGTCTTGTTCCTGATCTTAGAGGAAAAGCTTTCTACCTGTCACCACTGAATATGATATTAGCTGTGGACTTGTCATATACAGCCTTTATTATGTTGAGGTACATTCCTTCTACATCTAATTTCTTGAGAATTTTTATCATGAAATGATGTTGCATTTGTCCAATCTTTTTTCTGTGCCTATTGAGATGATCATATGATTTTTATCTTTCATTCTGTTACTGTGGTGTGTCACTTTTATTGATTTGCATATGTTGAACCATCCTTGTATCCCAAGGTTAAATCTCACTAGATCATGGTGTATGATTCTTTCAATGTGCTGTTGAATTTGGTGTGCTACTATTTTGTTGAGAATCTTTGGATCTATATTCATCAGAGATATTGGCCTGTAGTTTCCTTTTCTTATAGTGTTCTTATCTGGCTTTAGCATCACGGTAAAGCTGCTCTTGTAAAATGAGTTTTCTCCTCTTTGATTTTTTGGAAGAATTTGAGAAGGATTGGTTTAAACGTTTGATAGACTTCCCAGGGAAACCATTTGGTCCTGGGCTTTTCTTTGTTGGGAGATTTTTGATTACTGATTCAATCTCCTTACTCGTTATTGGTCTGTTAAGATTTTATATTTCTTCATGATTCAGTTTTGGTAGGTTGCATGTTTCTAGGAATTTGTCCGTTTTTTTCTAGGTTGTCCAATTTGTTGGCATATAATTGTTCATAGTCTCTTATAATCCTTTGTATTTCTGTCATATCAGTTATAATGTCTCCTTTTTAATTTATAATTTTATTTATTTGAGCCTTCTCTCTATTTGTTTTAGGAAGTCTAGCTAAAGGTTTGTCAACTTTTTAATCTTTTCAAAGAACCAGCTCTTAGTTTTGTTGATCTTTTCTGTTGTTTTTCTGGTCTCTATTTCATTTATTTATGCTTTGATCTTTGTTATTTCCTTTCTTCTGCTAACTTTGGGCTTAGTTTGTTCTTCTTTTGCTAGTTCGTTGAGGTGTAAATTTAGATTGTTTGTTTGAAATCTTTCTTTTTTCTTAATGTAGGTATTTATCACTATAAACTTCCCTCTTAGAACTGCTTTTGCTTCATTTCATAAGTTTTGGTGTGTTGTGTTTCCATTTTCATTTGTTTTTAGACTTTTTTTTTATTTCTTCTTTGACCCATTGGTTGTTTAATTCTCACATATTTTTGAATTTTCCAGTTTTCCTCCTATTATTGATTTCTAGTTTCCAGAGAAGACATACAAATTGCCAACAGGTACATGAAAAGATGCTCAACATCATTAATCATCAGGGAAATATAAATAAAAACCACAGTGAGATATAACATCGCAACTATTATAATGGCTACTATCAAAAATACAACAGATAGTGTTGGTGAAGATGTAGAGAAAAGGGAACACTTGTGCACTGTTGGTGGGAATGTAAATTGGTACAGTCACTATGGAAAACAGTGTGGAGGTTCCTCAAAAAATTAAAAATAGAATACCATATGATCCAGCAGTCCCACTTCTGGGTATGTATCCTGAAGGAAATGAAATAAATATCTCAAAGAGGTATCTGCGCTCCCATGTTCATTGCAGCATTACTCACAATAACCAATATGTGGAAACAACCTAAATGTTCATTCATGGGTGAATGGATGAAGAAGATGTGGTGGATAGATGCATACATACATACATACATACATACATAAAATGGGATATAATGCAACCATGAGAAAGAAGGAAATCTCGCCATTTGCAACAACATGGATGGACCTTGACAGCATTGTGCTAACTGAAATAAGTCAGACAAAGAAAGACAAATATTGTATCATCTTACTTATATGTGGAATCTAAAAAAGTTGAACTCATAGAAACAGAAAGTAGAATGGTGATTATCTGGGGCTGGGAGGTGGGGGAAATGAGATGTCAGTCAAAGGGTACAAACTTCTTGTTATATACTGAATATGTTCTGGTGATCTAATGTGCTGCATGGTGACTGTTCTTAACAATATTATATTATATACTTGAAATAGCTAAGAGTAGATATTAAACATTCTCACCACAAAAAAGAAATGGTAATTTTGTGAGGTGATGGAAGTGTTAACTGACCTTACTGTGGTAAACATTTCACAATACGTAAGTATATCAAATTTAGAAAAATGATGGCTTAATGGTTTTGAAGATGTCTCTGGGGAATAGGGACTGCATTAATTATAGTTTAAAATTGAAGGCTGTGTTCCTGGTGACACAAAACTTTTGAGCTATGAGCAAATGTCCTACCCTGGTCCCAACAGTGTTGTGGTTCCTCGCGAAGGGGTAAAAGGCACCCAGTTGCATCCAGCGAACACACATCTCATATTCAGCATCTTCAAAGAACCCACAGATATCTGCTCCTGTCTGAAACAAGATGGAACAAAACGAGCCTGTTGATGATTTCTGAAAGATATCACCATCTGCTTGATTGGAAGTGATCCAAAGGACACTTACATAGGATATGCCAAAGAGGCTAAACTCCATCATGCCTGTAATGAGAACCACAGCTGTGTCAGACGAGGCACTCGTGACCTGCTTCCTCCTCCCTCCTCAAAGAATCCTTTACTATCAAGGATCCCAACTCCCCACCCCAGTGGCAGAGGCCCCTAGGAATAAGCCCACACACCAATGATAGACTTCTTCATCTGGTCCCATGCAGCCGTGTTGTCTCCCAGCCAGTGTCCTCCCCAGCGGCCAGAAGAGGGGAAAGTAGAGCGGGTGATGACGATCCCTCGCTGTCCTGTCACCTCCTGCACAGCTCTGGTTGGAGGGGAGCAAGGAGGTGATTGAGGGCAGAGCAGGGGAGGAAAGGCCACTGAGCTTCTCCTCCCAGAGCTCCTGAGCCTAGGGCACAGTGACAAAAATGTTTCCCACATTACTAGAGGGAATATGGAAATCTGAGTCACAATGATGTCCCCACTGACTGACTCTGGATGATAGAGACAATAATGACAGTTGTGTCTTTACATAATGTTTTATGATTTACAAAAAACTTCACCATGTAATAAACTCAGTAGATCACCTAAAAGTAATTCATAATCACTAAATCTTACTATTTGTTTACTCAGTACTTAGTTTTATATATTTGGGGAGGAAGAAGGTGAATTCCTTTATAAGGCTTTCCTTAGGATAATTCTTATGATTCATTGACTGAGCACACAAAATGGGACAGTGCTAATTCAATAGAATGCCAGTTGGCTATCCAACAAGAATGACCAAAAAAGAAAAAAAATCCCAGTGGAGATGGGTCACTTTTGAAATAAAGGAAAGAGATGTCCAGTCCTCTGTGCTCTCTTTGTTTCTTACAACTAAAGTTATTATAGCATCAGCCACACTGTGTAATCATTGCTGGTGTCTCCACGTGTGTCTCCTCCACCAAGACTATTAGTTTCTCGTTGGGAGGACCATACCTTATTTAAATCTATTCTCCTAACTGTAATTACAGGGCCCGGCTCTACAATTATGAGTGTTTGTTTAATAAATAAGAATTATTACATAATTATAATTAAAATCTTATTAACCCTTGGAAAGGGGAACGAAAGGAAAAGCAAGGCAGCTTCATCAGTCACTGGCTGTCACTGCAGGTGATATGGATTGGATATGGGAGATGGCAACTCACTCGTATGTGGGTCTGGTCTGGGACCACCCGTACAGGCTGTGCACATCGTAGTGCCTCACCACGGAGCCGTCTGGCAGGATCTGCTCACTCTCCATGCACAGGGTCTTGCTGCTCAGACCACTGTCCCTGGCCTCCAGATCTGAGGAGAAAGATCTAGTGATGTAAAAGCCACCTCTGATCCTGATCCAGGAATGTGCTCCAGGAGAAAGCAGGGGCATGGGGAAGACCACACAGTTGTCAAACACTCACTATGTGACAGGTTTCCATCTAGGCTTTTAACGTGTAAATTATTTCATGTAATTCTTATCATAATTCTATGAAGAAGACATCATTATCCTCTTTTTAGAGTTTAAAAAATTGAGATCTGGAAACATCAAGTAATCTGCCAAAGGTCACACAATTCACAGAGAGTATAATTTCTGGAGCCAAGATGTGCAAACATGTATAACCCCAAAGTCCATCGACTCCATGATCAGGGGAAGTTGCTACTTTCTGCCCCCTGGTGGCACAACAAATTCCTGTGGAAGAATTAACATAAACCTGAAGAAGTAAGAAACTCAGGTGTAGAATACTTTGGAGACATTACCACTAAGTGTTTTCTGAACAAATTCGAGAAATTCACCCAACAGGGCCAGAAACTTGCACACACCCAACTGGGTAAAGTGCTTGAAGCATACTTGCCTTTGGCCCCCCAAAAACCACAGCACCAGTATGTGCCCTGAGCAGTCAGGATAAACCCCTGGCTGCTGGGCTCTTGCAGGGGTCAGTCTTTGTAGCCACAGCTCAGCCAGCAGAGAGGGCCAAGGATCCTTACATGGCATATAGGGAGGGTGGTTCAGGGTGGCATTCCTGCAGCCTGAAGGAACTGCCCCATTCACAAAGCTCGCCGGTTCATTCATATCCTAGAAACGTCAGATACAGAGATGTCTTACTTTTTAAAACAATTACATCCTGTCAACTCAGAGACAAGGAAGTAGTGAATAAATCACTCACCATCCAGTAATCCCAAGACAGCAGCCCAGAGAGACTCATCAAATCCCGTTGAGAACTGATTAGAAAGATCGTTTAAGCCCTACAGAATGACTGCCTAAAGGATTTTTAAAAAATTCCCTCTCAGAGTGTGAGGCCAGGCTCAGATCCAAGGAATTCCTGGCAATCACCTTGGAGTTTTACAGCAGGAACTTCGGGCAGGTACAGGGTATGAGGAGCATCCAGGATGCTCCACTCCTGACTTGAGGAATTGCAGCCTGACATGTCCAAAGTCTTTCTTAGATGATTATCATCCTCCTTGATTAAAGGTCAGTGATACACATGCTTTGACACACAAAGAGAGAAACGCACCCATCCACATGTACACAGACACAAACACACACACGTACAATCCACATGCCATCAAACTTCAAGCTCTTCTCTGGATCTCGTGGATTGGTGTATAGTTCTTCCATCTCCCTCTTCCACCATCTGACGGTTGAATTACGGAAAAAGTCTGGGAAGGCCACATAAGCTCGGTATAGCTGTAAAAATTAAATATAAATTATTCGTCACAAATAAATATATTAGACAGCAAACAGGCATTTCCTGAGAGCTTAACTCATGCAAAGCAACACACTACATATGATAGATAATCCAAACAGAGCTTACGTAATGTTTTCAGCTTTTTTGAAATACAATGAGTGGAAAGAAGAGAAATTAGCACAAATTAGACACCTTCTTAGCATGTGGAAAGCCTCCATGGACTTTTCCTCTTTGTATCAACATGAATGGTAGCAATCAACACCCTGAACTCACTACCTCATGTGTTAGATGCCCAACCCTCAATTTATGTCCTGCAATTTCCTAAGCACTCCTCAAAGACAAAGCATGAGCCAGGGAGAGACTGCAGCTTGAAAGGGGCAGACATCAGATGCATCGTCAACAGGTTGGAAAGAAACATCCAGGTAATCTTCTCCTATCTCATTCCTATTGGGGAAAGGGGGCAAGAGGTAAGATTGCATTTTATTATATGAGACTATCTAACTAGTATGCATCTGTGTTTTCCATAGTTTCAGAATCACCTGAAAACTACTGATGTGTGTCAAGTAAATTGGGAGGATTAAAGAGGAAGTTTCAATTTCCCCTTCTCTTTATCTTCCTCAAATAATGAAAGACGTGTCTTTATTTTAACCAGGAAAGTGGATCCAATGCATAACTTCTAAACTGTAGTGTAAGCTTTATGATACCAAGGACCTTGTGTTATATTCTTCTGATTGATCTTCATATTCCCCACAGCGCTTAGTTAGGGACCTGACATAAAATAAACACTCAGTGTATAATGGTGAATTCACACCACTTAGTGGCAGCAAATATTCATAAATTTCTATGTAGCCCATGCTGCTTGTTTTGGAACTTTACAGTCCTTTGTATGTTTCAGTAAATAGGTTCCTCTATGTTTATCAGTGCATTTTAAGAGTTAAAGAGCTAAATAATGCTGGTGGCAAGGGTGGAGGGGAAACAACAGGTAGAGGAATTGGTCCCGGGAACCCCGAGTTCTTATACACAATAGACAAAAGGAAAGTAGGAACCCATATGTCTAGATAAAGGGCAAAAAAGGATCACAAAGAAGAAAACAAGAAATGGATCGAACACAGGGATCCCGCTCACAAAGAGAGATGGTAGTGAGCCACATCACTGAGACTCTCATGAAAAGAAGGCATACCAAGGATGCCTTTTTGTTAGAAAATAGAGGTAGAAACACGGAACCAGAAGAAGAGAACCTTTCAACAGAAACAGAGTGCTCCAGCTCAGGCAGGGTTAGAAACACGGGGGAGGGGAGGGGAAAGAAGGATTAGAATAAACAGAGTCAATACCAGCCATGTCTGAGTCATAATTGAATCTCATATGGGATACAAGTGAGACATTTGACCAATTTCGATCCATTAACCTCACTCAAAGGTGCTCTGATGACCTTTACCCATGAAATGAAAAGTGTTCTGCCACTTTCCAAGGTACTGGCTCACTTCACTACTGTCTATATTCCACTCTTGCCTTGTTGCTTCTGCCCTCACTTTCCCTTGTCCCCAACTCGTGATGTACCTACCTGTGTGTCTGGCCCCAGGATCACTTATCACAATCCATTATGTGCTACCAAAATGCAATTCCTAGACCCCGTCCCAGCCTTACTGAATTAAATCCCTGTGCTTCAGACCCAGAAATCTCCTTTTCATAGGCTTCCTGCTGTTTGTTTGTTTTATACTACCCTCAGCCAGGCTGGTCCTAGACATCAGTAGCCTCATCCCCACCAACCTCATCAAGTGGGTATTATTAACACAAATAGTCATAATTATTTTGTCTACTGAGAATATCCTATGTGCTACCTAATAGACACCATGACCCCCTAATGAAACGTTTCTTATCACGGGCACAATTGGCATTTGGGGCAGGAGAATTCTTGGTGGAAATCTCTGCAATTAGAACTATGGGCATCCCGCTGGTCACTGCCCACTAAATGCCAAGTGGTGCTCCCCTTGTGATAACCAAAACTGCCCTTCAGATTTCTAAATGCCCTCAAGGTGGCAGTATTGCCTAATGGCTGATGAATTGTGGGGCTCATATAGTGGTAGCCAACCTCTTGATTGCCAAAGCAGCCCCTTTCCCAGCATAATGATTTAAAAGTCATGGCACTGCCATAAAAACAGACACATAGACCAATGGAACAGAACAGAAAGCCCAGAAATAAACTCACACCTATATAGTCAGTTATTCTTTGACAAAGGTGCCAAGAACACACAATGGGGAAAGGACAGTCTCTTCAATAAATGGTGCTGGGAAAAATGGACAGCCACATGCAAAAGAATGAAACTGGACCCCTATCTTACACCACACATAAAAATTAATTCAAAATGAATTAAAGACTTAAATGTAAGACCTGAAAACATTAAAATCCCAGAAGAAAACATAGGTAAAAAGCTCCTTCACATTGGTGTTGGCAAGGACTTTTTGGACTTGACACCAAAAGCACAAGCAACAAAAGCAAAAATAAACAAGTGGGACTACACCACACTAAAAACCTTCTGCACAACAAAGGAAACAATCAGCAAAATGCAAAGGCAACCTGTGGAATGGGAGAAAATATTTGCCAATTGTATATCTAATAAGAAGTTAAAATCCAAAATATATAAGGAACTTACACAACTCAACAGCAAAATAAAAAATAAACTTATTAACAAATGGACAAGGGGGCCCGGCCCCACGGCCTCTGGGTTAAGTTCAGCACACTCTGCTTTGGTGGCCTGGGTTCAGTTCGCGGGCACAGACCTAGATAGCTCATTGGCAGCCATGCTGTGGCGGTGACCCGCATACAAAATAGAGGAAGATTGGCACAGACGTTAGCTTGGAGTGAATCTACCTCAGCAAAAAAAACACAAAAGGACAAGGACCTGAATAGACATTTTTCCAACAAAGACATACAAATGGCCAACAAGCACATGAAAAGGTGGTCACCATGACTAATCATCAGGGACATGCAAATCAAAACCACAGTGAGATATCACCTCACATCTGCTGGAATGTCTGTTCTCAAGAAGACAAGAGATAACAAGTGTTAGCAAGGAGGTGGAGAAAAGGCAACCCTTGTGCACTGTTGGTGGGAATATAAATTGGTGCAGCCACTATGGAAAACAGTTTGGAGGTTCCTCAAAAAATTTAAAATAGAACTACCTTATGAGTCAGCAATCCCACTTCAGGGTGTATATCCAAAGGAAATGAAATTAGTATCTCAAAGATATATCTGCACTCCCACGTTCACTGCAGCATTATTCACCATAGCCAAGATGTGGAAACAATCGAAGTGTCCATCAACAGAGGAATGGAGAAAGAAGATGTGGTATACATATATATACAATGGAATATTATGCAGCCATGAGAAAGAAGGAAATCTTGCCATTTGCTATAACATGGATAAAGCTAGAGGACATTATGCTAAGTGAAATAAGTCAGACAAAGAAAGACAAATACCGTATGATCTTATTTATATGTGGAATCTAAAAAAAAAAAGTTACACTCATAGAAACAGACAGTAGAATGGTGGTTACCAGGGGCTAGGGGATGGGGGAAATCAGAAGATGCTGGCCAAAGAGTGCAAGCCTTCATTTGTAAGATGAATAAGTTCTGAGGATGTAATATACAGCATGGTGACTATAGTTAATAATATTGTATTGTATACTTAAAAGTTGCTAAGAGAGATCTTAAGCATTCTCACCATACACACTCACAAATAGTAACTACCTCACATTATATGTGAGGTAATAGATATGTTAATTAACCTAATTGTGGTAGTTATTTCACGATATATATATACATACCAAATCATCACATTGTACAGTTTAAATATATACAATTTTATTTGTCAGTTGTACTTCAATTAAGCTGGGGGGAAAATACTAAAAAGGAAAATAAATAAATAAAAGTCAAGGAGCCCATGACCCTGAACATCTCTGACCTGGTAGATTCTTGCATGCTTGTGGGCTGCCTGGACCACCAAACTTAAAGTGATCTTCTCTGAGAAGCAACAGAGAGAACAGGAAGCTAGATGCTCTTCCTTGAATCTTTATCTGAGATCTTTTACTAGTAAAAATCTATTCCCAGGAGAGAGCAAGTTTTAACATAAGGCTGGAAACTAGGAGGTAAAAGAAACCTAAGGAAGGATGGGAGGATTTATAAGAGGTAAGATGGAAGAGACTGTCCCTAACAAAGAGATGCACAGAGAAAAAGACTCAATCACTAAAGACAGGGGTGGGAGATTCTGTTTAAAAGGGATACTCAAGGCAACAACAACAAATATACTAATTCAGGGAAAAGATAGTATTTCTTGGAGCTATCATCCGGTGGAAATTTCATGGGTCTTTGGAATTTCGGATGTGAAATCACCACTCTGTCGCCTAAAACCATGGACAAATAATTTAAGCTCTCTGAGTCTTAGTTATGCTGAGGATAATAATACCCACCTCCCAGCTGGGAGTAAAATATTACACGTAGAGCAACTGGTACACAGACAGAAACACAGGACGTGCTCCCTAAGTGTTCTTCCCTCACTATACCCACACTCATGGCATACAGATGTCCAGTATCCTGAGCATGGCTGCACCTTCCCGCCAACCCTGATTTCACCCAACATCCACAAAGAGCCCTTTACCTCCACTTGACTATCCCAGTCAAGGGATGCATTTACAACAACATCAGGAAAATCAGGCCAGACCTGTGGAGAGAAAAAGGTTCAAAACCAATGCACTAGGTAATTTCTCTTATATAGTTTTTCCTAAGAAACAATAAACCACGGTCTTAGGGGTGATAATACTTTGATTTTCTTGTAGGATTGATCTAGAGAAAAGTGGTCCCACAGTGCACATGGATTCCTTAAAAATTCCTTAACTGTTTTGACAAATATTGAGAAAATGAGAACTTCTGGTCTCAGAGCCCAAATGGAAAAGGCCAAAAAACAACTTGTACAAACACACTAACAGTTACCCACCCCCGGGCTTGGGATCAGTGGATCTCCGCCAGGATCATACCTTTCCCCAGACAATGCCTCCACCATCTGGAGCTTTGATGAAGACATCATCCTCCACACCCCGAGTGAATGCAGGATAGGGCTGTGTCTCATTGCCAGAAATGGCTGGGTCCTGAAGTCAAAGCACAGGTCAGGTGAGAAAACTAAAGCCAGAGAATGACTCGGGATGGAAAAAAAGGAGAATTCTTCAAAGAGAAAGCATTAAGTTCCACCTGAACTGTAGAGCTTCTGCAAATTCTGGGAAACACACTTTTCATATTGAACCTCAACTTCTCTACTCATAACATGGAGGGAAACACAATACGAAGCTTTCTCCACCAAAGCCCCCTCACTCTGCTAAACAGACTCTACCCATTCACATAGGGACTAACCAGAATGAGGATGACCCGCATCCCGTCATCATGCATGCGAGTAATCAGAGCTGGGAGTCCAGCAAACTTGGGGCTGAGGGTGAAGTCCATCTGCCGCTCCATGTAGTCGATGTCCGAGTACTGCACGTCCTGGGGGAACACACAAGGACACTGAGCGGCTACTCGTTGTAAAAGTCCAAGTTTCAGATGAATTTCCCAGAACCTGCGATTTTCAAATTTTCAGTCATAAAATAGAAAAAAAACTAAATTAGCAAAATATAGGATGATAATGCTATCTGGCAGGGCTGTTGTGAGGATGAATGAAAACAGCGGATGAGAAAGTGCCTTGTAAACGGGCCAATATAAGGAGTGATTGTGGTTACCTCCCCCAAGAGGCTGCCCCTGGTATCAGTGGCTCATGTTCAGAGAAAATAATATAACGTAAATTAGCCAGTACTAATATAACATGGATGGTAAGTCTACCAAAAAAAAACCCAAAGGAAAACCTGTAATTGTTGTGGAATATCCAATCCTGGGGGTTATCAACAAGCTTATCAAATAAGCTTTCTTATTAAGAATGAACTATTGCATGCTATACTTTCCATTAGTAGGAATAATTATAAACAATAGAAAAATAAATAGAATAAAATTAAGTATGTAAGTGGTTCATAGGATCAATTCTCTGACTATTGGACCCCTCTTGTCCTCAAGTGAAGGACAGGGTTCACTTCACACACATTTCCTCTGGAACCCAGTCCCAAGACCCCTACATTCAACCAGGGATTAGCTTAAAGTGAGGGAACACTTTCTGCAGCACCAGCAATGTGTTGGAACTGAGGTCTTATCTACAAACACAATGGTCTGACTGGATTTGGGTTGATTTTTTTAAATTAAACAAAACTACAGTTTGGGGAACCTTTTATTCTTATGGTACCAAGGGCGTTTTTGACTAAACGTTTTGAAGTCATGTAAAAGAAATGGAAATATGATATAGTAAAAAGAGCCCCAGAGCTGGACATATATCCTGCTTTTGCAACTCACTGTGACTCTTTAAAATGGCGACAATGACTCCCACTTGTATTGCTGGGTTGGGGTGAGCTTCAGTGTGATATTCTATGAGAAAGCACTTTCTAACTTTATAGAAACCCACATAAATCAGACAAACTAATCCAAATACAGAGACAACTGAGGTTGGCTGTGAGGTCCCAGAGCCAGGACTCCACAGATTAAGAACGTACATAGGGGATCTGGGCAGCCACCATGTCATCATACAAGCTGGCAATCTCAGTGTCATTCTCGTATCCATAGCGACACAGCTGAAACCCCAAGGACCAGTAAGGAACCATCACTGGTCGACCAATCAACTAGAAAATAGACAGAAAATATTAGTCCTTAAAAAGGAGAAACTGGATTGAAGTGTACAAAGTAATAAGAATACTTTTCCAGTGCCCCAAGTTAGACAAGCAACCGATTCAAATCCAGAGAAACAGAGGATGCAGAGCCACTGGGATACCTTGGAGAAAGCTCCCTGCTAGACTTGACCTTCTTCTCTAGGAATTTTGCAAAATCTTATTTTAGTCTGATTCCTAGAGGCAGTCTAGCTTACTGGTTAAAAACACATAATCCAGAGGCAATGCCTGGGTTACCAATCTCTGCTGGCTATGTGACTCTGGGCAAAAGTTAAATAACCTCTTTGTGCTTCATTTTCTTCACCTGTAAATTGGGAATAACAATAGTATTTGCTTCTTAGTGTTTCTGTGAGGACTGCATGTGTTAATATACGTAAAGTGCTCTGATATTCAGTAAGCACTATATCAGTGGCATAGAGTAAGTTTTATATACATGTTTGTTGATGCTGCCAAAACAACTGTCAAGACTACTGTGACCACCACCACCACCAAAATAACAACACCATCACATCATCATCACCAGCTCCACCATCACAACCACCTCACCACCACCACCACTACCACCACCATCATCACCACCATCATCCACCATCATAACCTTTACCACCACCACCACCACCACCATCACCATCATCCACCATCACAACCTCCACCACCACCACCACCATCACCACCATCACCATCATCCACCACCACAACCTCCACCACCACTACCACAATCACTACCATCACCTACCAGCACCACCTTTCACCACTACCACCACCATTGCCACTGCCACCACCACCACTGGCACCACTACTACTTCTGATACTCTTCAATGCTTTCAGAGGCTACAAATTTAATGGTTATTGATATGTAGTTATTGCTCCTTATACTACAATAGACTTGTCTCCCAGAAAGACCAACAATTCCAGTTATCATCTGAGAGCTATATCAATGAACGTGGGTTTTGGCACTCAGAATGTGCTGCATAAATACTTGGTAACCAGTTGAATTCTCTCCTACCTCAGTGTACTGCTGAGTGAGAATCTCTGGAGTTGGCCCCAAGAGCACATAAAAGTCTAGAATTCCTCCTGTGGTGCGGTATGTCAAGGCAGGCATGGACTGGAATGTCACATCTGAAAATACAGGAAAATACTAATAAAGCTCGAAAACTTCAAGGTGAGGAATTTACCCCTGAAATTCACACCTTCTTCCTCATCCTATGCTTCTCTACTGTAGAGTATTGAGAGAAAGCATTTTTACTATACCTACACAGAACTGAAGAAGTTAAGTGAAAGTCTCCAGGGTGCCACCTCTGCATTTTTTCCCTTTGGTGTTCTTTATTATCTTACATGTTTCGTCATTCTGCTCTTTTTAAAATTATCATGATAACTTTTATTTTAGAATAGTTTAAGACTTACAAGAAGATGCAAAATAGCACTGAGAGTTCCCTTGTACACTTCCCCCAGCTTCCCCAAATGATAACATCATCCATAATCCCTGTACATTCTCAAAAACCAGGAAACTGACATTGATATAATACTGTTAACGTCAGGTATAGACCTTATTCATATTTCACCAGTTTTTACACGCATGCTTTCACCCCTACCTCCTGATTTTCCACCCCCTTTCCAGTATACCATACAAATTTTCTTCATGACCTCATACCCTCAGAGCAAGTGCTCTGACCCATAGCTTCATCAACAACTCAGATTATATGGATGGCTCCCATTGGCTGACCTCCAGGATGTCTGGGACTTGCTTGGTTCTGCTATCCCTTCTTACATGATTTTTGCCAAACAAAAGTTGAGTTAATTCTTGTTACCATGTTACTGAACTGAAATAAACAGAAAGGCTAAACAGAAAGACAAAAAGGAAAAAAATCTGCAGGCACATAATAATTTTGACTTCAGGGGCAGCTAGGTCAAATACATTCCAAAGTTCCTCAAGAATGAGTGGTTCACAAAAATAAGGAGAGACGCTGGCATCACCTTACCCATGGCATTGCTGTTTAGCAGGAGCACCCCGTGGGCATTGCCATCTTCCTCCAGTCCCATGTAGTAGGGGTGCACACCATAGGAATTCTTCTTGTACTGGGAGAGTCATGGAGAAGAAGTAGTAAGAGGTTAAAGACATGAGAAGGAAACTCCACAAAAATTGATAGCTATGTCTAGTCTTCTTTTTGTTTTTTATGAGGAAGATCAGCCCTGAGCTAACACCCATGCCCATCCTCCTCTTTTTTTTTGCTGAGGAAGACTGGCCCTGGGCTAACATCTGTGCCCATCTTCCTCCACTTTATATGAGACGGTGCCACAAGCATGGCCTGACAAGCGGTGCATTGGTGCACACCGGGGATCCAAACCCTGGCCGCCAGCAGCAGAGCACGAACACGTAACCGCTACGCCATGGGGCCGCCCCGTGTCTAGTCTTCTTTATGAACTAAATTAAACACATGAGAAATAAAGGAGCCCAAGAACTGGCCCTCTTGTCTAAAAGCAGAATGTGACCATCCAAGTTGAGTCGGGGAAGATGAAGCATGAAGCGTACACAGTGTGGAGAGAGGCAGACACACAGATCCCAAATGCTCTGCCCTTACCCCTGGGGGTTGGTCTCGGGAAAACATCCCCCACGTGTGCCAGTTCAAGTCTCTCTGAAAGGCTGTGTGCTCATTTTCCCCAAAACCATAGAGGTATTGGGAGGAAAGGCGAGTGGAGATACGGATGAACATGTCGTTGAAGGTGAAACCAAGGATCTGAGAGTCCCAACTGCAAAACAAAAAAGTATATTTGGAAAAGGAAGGCGCTATTCTATTGGCTTCAAGTTGCTGACTTTTCAAGGACAACTGAACTCTTGATTCCCTCCCACAACTCTTGATTAACCCTGTTAATCTCCCAAACAAAACATAAAATCTAAAATAATCATAGATGCACTTGCTAAAAGCCCAGGAGACAGCCTTCATGCCTCTATTTTCCTCTCACTACCTCCTTTCAGTTCTCCCTCCAGAACCCCAAATCTAATGCCTTCTCGCCATCTCACCTGCTACCACTCCATACCAGCCCCGCCTTCCACTCTTGCTCCCCTACAGCTCCTTTACTACATGGTATCCAGAGTGATATTTTTTGAGAGTATCTCACATCATGTCCCTCCCCTGTTTACAATTCTTCAGTGATTTCTCATTAAAACATCTTATGAAGTCTTCAAGGTCATATCTGATCTGAAGCCCACCTAAATCCCAGCTTCATCTCCCACCATTCACTGCCTTACTTACTACATGGCTCCAACCACATTGGACTTCTTTTTCCCCTTAATAGGCCAAGTTTGCTCCTGGTTCATGGCCTGTGCTCCCACTAGTCCATCTATTTAAAATGTTCTTCCTCTTCCCCTAGATCTCTACATGGGTTGCTCCTTCTCCCCATCCAGGGCCTGTTTTAAATGTCACCTACTTGAAGAGACCTACTCTGACCTCAGTATCAAAGCAGTAACCTCCCACAACTCTCAATCACCCTGCTCTTTTTCCCACATAGCAGTTGTCACTATCTAAACCGCCTTATTTATATTTTAACTTAAATTATCTTTGCTATTTACTTACTATTTTTTTATCATGAGAAGAGAGACCTCATCTTCTATAACCACAAATACCAGAGGAAGCACTCCATAAACATTTGTTGAATGAATCCCTAGGTACATGCAACTGCACTAGTAACTACTCCCAGGGGACTAAAAATTTCTCTTAAGAACAGACTCGGAGGAAAGAACTTATTCATGAATCTGGAAATGGATAGTGTGATGCTTTGAGCCGGGAGGTCTCCAAGGACAGTGGACCTGGCAATGAATGTGCAGGTAACCATCAATTCCAAATCAGACAAGGAGCCACCTACATTACAGTGCCTGTACTCTTCCGGCGAATTTCAATCCCAAATGGATTCTTCTTAATGAGGACATCATAGAGTCGATTCTCAGACGTGCTGGATGGAACCCCGGGTATGTTGAGAGGGACTGGGACTTCATACCGATTGTTGTTGGGATCATAAATCTAGGGCCAGAGGAAACAGATTTTAGGTAAGAATAGTACTCTTGAAATCTACACCCTTAGCAGAAACTGGATGTCTTTGACAAAGAGTCTGAATGCTATATTTCTTTGTTTTCTTTAAGCTCATGATACTAGGGACTTAATTAACATATCAAAGGACAATGTCAGATTTAACATTTGATCTGAGTCTGTCATATCTCATTTTTCAGGCCTCTATTACAATAACATAATCACTTTGACATTGGTACTGTCTTGGAAAATTAGTCTGGAATCAGTCTGGTATTTGTGACTATATCATTTCTTACTTTCTGTGTACATCTATGAGTGTATGTGAATACTTGAAAACTTTTGTGAATTAAAAAAAAAATCCCCCCCCAAAAAACATGAACTCTATTTGATTAAAATAATCATAGATGCCCTTGCTAAAAATGGGATCTAAATTGATTCATTGAGTATCTATTATATTCCTGCCTGATACTGTACTAGACACTAGGGATAACTCAACTGAATAAGACACAGTTATTGTTTTTAAGAAATTCACGTGCTAATGGGAAGTGAAAATGAAGTACCCACAACATCTGGGTGATCTGCGATAACATAGAGCTACGGAGAAGTGTTGTGAGATTAGAAGGAAGGAAATGCCTAACACTGTTTCTGGGAGACTGAGATGGTCTCAAGGGGAATGTGCAGGCTGAGTCCTAAAAGCTTTGCAGCCATTAACCGAGCACAGTAAGGAGATCAAGTCATTCCCGGCAGAGAAATAAATAAAAAGGCACATAGCATTAAAGCAGGGTCAGAAAGGGGTAAACATTTTGGAGAGAGCTGCTATATGATCAAGAGGTAGAATAGGAAAGAGTTAAAGCTGGAAAGCCAAGCAAATTCATTTATTTCAAACCCATTAGGTGCCTACCATACACCAGTGCTATGGTGAGGATAGAAATATAAAACAGCATCATCTCTGCATTGCAAGGTATGGCAAAACTAATAGTCCAGGCTGATATTAGATTGTGAAGAAACTCTTAGGCATGCCTGTTGTCTTTCATTTACTCTCTCAATAAACATCTCACTGCTAACTATCTACCAGCTCTGTGTTAGATTTTAGAAACATAATGATGAAAGGATAAATTCCTGTCTTTGAGAAACTTACAAGTCAGTAGAGAAATAGACATAAAAACAGCCCATCATTAGTCCTTAGATGTAATTAAATCATAGTAAAGAAAGAGGTCTCTACACTTTCCTAGCTATTTCATAGATATCCCAAATTCAGTGTCCAAAACTGAACTCATCATCTTATTTTGCCCAAGCCCAAACCTTTTCAATGTCCCCCTTCCAGTTAAAGTCACCACCATTAATTTAGAGACACAAGGTAGAAACATGGTAATCATTCCTGATGCTTCCCTCTCCCTCGTCACCTACTTGCCATCATCACCAGATCCTATAATCCTACCTCCTCAGTCTCTCAAAGATGTCCACTGTTCTCCATCTACTTTCCTGCGCCCAGTCTAAGCTCTATCCCTCACATGGATAACCTACCTGGTAGCCTCCTAACATGTCTCTCACTTTTCACTCTTGTCCTCCAAACAATTTTCCTTACAGTAGACACAGCAATCTTTGCAAAACGCACATTAGAACAGGTCTCACTATTCCTTCAATGGTTTCTCATTGCTTTTAGGGTAATGATCTGGTATACTATAGCATGGTTAACTTAGAAAAGCAAACTTATTTTAGGGTTCAGTAACTTGGACCAGAAAAAAAATAATGGAACTGAAAAGGGCCTAGTCAGTACTAGATACATATACTGTAAACACGTACCTTAAACTGCAGCATGTCATCCTTATGGTAGGTCACATTCAGATGGAGGGAGTTCACCGGTATTGAGGGCAAAGCATAAGCATAAGAAGACTTTAAAGAGAGGACAGCTGTGGCCCCAAGGGAGTCATACTGAATGTCACTGACAGAGTATAGATCATCGACGAAATAGCAAAAAGGGACTCCAGAAGAATTGGATGCCTGAAAAGCAAAGCCAAAGTCAGCTCAGCATGTGCTCCTAGGATTATCAAATATAAAGGGTCTATAAAAACAATTTCCAGGGAGGTAAAGCCAGATCATCCCTCATTTCCTTACATGACTCATTGGTAGTGACATAAGTTTAAATTCCTGGTCTCCATGCAAAATATTTGTAAGAAAATGTGCCACTCCTGTCTCTACCTATCCTTCACATCCAGATAAAAACTCAGGTTCCTTTAGAAGTCCTTCCTTTTTTTCTCTCTTTTTTTTTTTTTTATTTTTTTTGGAAGAAAGATTAGCCCTGAGCTAACATCTGATGCCAATCGTCCTCTTTTTGCTGAGGAGGATTGGCCCTGGGCTAACATCCGTGCCCACCTTCCTCCACTTTACATAGGACACTGCCACAGCATGACTTGACAAGCAGTGTGTCGGTGTGCGCCCGGGATCCTAACCCGTGAACCCCGGGCCACCAAAGCGGAGTGCGCGCACTTAACCACTATGCCACTGGGCTGGCCCCCTGGAAGACCTTTCTTTCTATGGATTTTAAGTAGTGACATAGGTACTGGTGCTGTAGGGATTTTAATGTACATTAACACTGTCAGCATGGTTACCTCCCAAACACAGCCACGGGCATTACAGTTTTCTGCGGAAGCACCATTCTCATCAGGATAACAGTCTATTTTTTCTTCATCCTTTATCTTCAGGTCCCACTCCACAGTGTATGCTTCTCCCAGGATAAGATCAAGATCTGTGATAAGGGCAACCTGTAGGGATGGGGAAGGGGACAAGAAAACTTATCCTCAGAACAAAGGTCTTGCAATATCTGAAACTTCTTTTAGGAAAAGAAATAGAAATCGGATCAGACTCTCAACAATCCAAGTGACATACCACTGGAGCTTATATGAAGAGAGCTATATGGGAGGAAGAGAGAATTATCCAGTGGCAACAGGGCAAATGTCACAACTCTATCAGAATCCTGTACATAAAATTTTGAAAAAAATAAGGTCAAATAAAACCTTCTGTGATCACACCTTCTCTTTCCTTCCTTGACTCCTCTTCCTCCTCCTTATTTTGTCAAAAAGGCTCTCTTCTGCACTTCACCTTGTAGCCTAGCACACACAACACACATTATCATCCCTAATTGAGCTTATCTTCTTGCCTTCCATTCACCAAACCAGTGTCCCTCACTGGCCTGGAACACAAGAGTGTGGCAAGAACACAGGAATAAGAATCATGTGGCTTGGGTTCTCATCTCCACTCTGCTGTGGAAACGTAGACAAACTATTTCAATTCTTTGGGTCTCGGTTTCATCAATTGCAAAATTAGTGAGTTGGTAAAATCATTACATTTCCTTCCATTTCTAAACATCCCAGCCTCTTCGTTTCTCCAAGTCCAAAGCCTCAAAACTTGCAACCTTCTTCTTTAAATCTCACTCACTAATTCAATTATTTAACATTTTTTAATGTATTTTTCTTATATTTGTCTCTTCTTTAACTAGCAATTTCCACAGTGGAAGTCCTCATTTGTCTAGCTATAAAATCACATTCTAAGGATTATCACTCTTCTTCCAGTCTCTTCGCAGTCTAAATTCATCTCACACTTCCCTGTACTACAAATCCCACCCCCGAGAGCAAGGCTCTCACAATGGCACTGCCTTGATTCATGGATCAATATGAGACCCTTTGAGAATTAGATCAGACCTTTCTCATTTTGGCACTAAAGATTCTCCAAAGCCTGACCACAAGTATCTGTCCAATCTCATCTCCTTCCAAAAGTGAATCCTAACTTTTCTAGTTATACAATATTCACAGACTAATGTAAGGCTATTCTCAGTCCTTATATTGGCTTATTCTGATATCTTAACCTTGAATGCTTTATCTAGGCACACACCCTTTCTAGGAATACCTAAATGGTGCCCACTTGTGGAATACACTGCCAGTTGCCGGCCCTACATTAAGGTTCCCTTCTTACTCACTATGTTAGTTTAGAATATTAAAGTTCCCAATTAAGAACTAAATTTTTAATCCATGTAACACAGCTTTGGCCCCTAGTAGGTAACTGCAAGTCCACTGGGAGTTGCTGGCCAAGTGTTTCTTTCTTGATTTAAGGGCCTGCCCTTCACCTTTACCTTTTCTTTCCTGTTTCCTCTTCTTTTCCTGCTTTAACAGGGCCATAGTGACTGGAATTAAGCAGCCACATCTAATCACAAGAGAAGAAAAGACCTGAACCCTTACAACCTTGAGCCACTGAACCAATGCCAGCAACTGATCTCTTTCTAAACTTTTTATTGCATGAGGAAAAAAATCCCAACTTGTTTAAACGACCATTTTGCTGAGTGTCCTGTCACTTGCAGCTGAACAAGACTCTACCTGATGCACCATCTTTCAAAGTCTAGCTCTAGCCCTGCCTTTTCCAAGGGACTTGCTCAGCTACTCCATTAAGTTTTGAAGACAAAATTAGGTCTAATATACTGTTAGCTACACCAACCTACGTGTTGGTTTGGGTAGCTTGTCCTCTTCCCAGTAGTTTCATGTACATAAATTGTGTCTCCCCACCACCCAAATTCAAACAACAAAAGAGTGCCTTTGGTCATATATAATTAATTTATTTAACAAACATTTATTGAGTTTGTTTTCGTATATGCATCCCTCCAATGGCTTGCACTTTGCTGTGCACATAATCAACCATACAATCCTTTATTTCTAACTTTATAATATATGTATCCTGAAAGTGTGTTGTCAGGACAAAATGTCAAATGTCATCAATATATCATTATAGTTGAAGACAAAATATACTTATTTTCTCCAAATTTGGAAGGTATCTCACAAACCATGCTGACACAGCAGTTCCCAATCCCAGATCATTTGGGGTCCCTGGAGTAAGGAGTATTTGGGGAAAGGACGCCTCATAAAGCTATGATATCAGAGGAACTGATTACAACATATTTAGGTCTCATTACAACTGATAAGAAATTATTTTATTATCATCTAACCAAATAAGCAGCCATTAGCTAGGCTTATCAAATTGTTTGACTTAAAATATTTCTTAAAAATATATCTGTTGGAGTGAGAACCTATATATTTCAATACAGCAAAAAAAAAAAATGCCCTTCAAAATTTTAATGGTAATCTCATCTCCTATCTTTACCTTTCTGGCATTTGCCGATGACTTTCAGATCCACTTTTCCTCTACTCTTGCTCCCCACATTCCTAACTTTGCTCTTCTTCTGTTCCAGCCAGAGAGAACAGAAGACTGAGGGGTAAATAAGGGAATAAGGATGAAAAGACCACTTTGCCTTATCCCAGTTTCTCAGCAGCTCCCTGTTCATTCTAGCTCTGGCCTCTCCTCAATTTTTTTCTCTCCTAACCCTCTGACTTCCCCACCCCAGGCCCCAGAGTGTGCTCTGGTCCTTTAGGAACACATGCAACCTTGGATTTTTACCTGTAGGTTAGAATCATAAGTGACATTAGGAGAAATTTGACTTGAGACACCGTTGTGTTTCACTGTAATGTTGTTAGGTTCCTGGGTCCCAAGGATTTTAATCTCTTTAAATACTAAATTATTGGGGTCTTTGTAGGTTGACTGCAAAATATTCACATCCAAGCGGTTCTGCAAAACAATTAAGCACAAAAGTGTACCTATAATATACAGATTCTCAAATCACTCAAATATTCCATCCTAGACCAGATACCCAAAACTTCTGTGAATGCCTCTTAGCTATCTCTACTAATGTGTGCTCAAGGAGTACAAACTTAATTTAATATTCCCCTGAGTGAAAAAGCGAGAGAGAGAAAAACACACACACATACACAGAAATTTTTAAAAACTGCATTTAAAAAGACTGACCACTTTGATTTATCCATATCACTGCCTCTTTTTAGTAAGGTGGATGATTCAATTATTGGAAGTTAAGTCATAAACTGAAATGTGCTCACCTATAGTCATAAATGCATATAATCTACAAATACAATTACACACATACACGAACACACTTGAGCTAATGGTCAGAGAAAAGCCCACACTTAAGATTCACAAAAATATGCTACTCACTTGGGTGACAGAAAACTCACATAAGAGATAAACTTGATTGGCCACAGTGTCTGAAAATGAAAGAAAGATGAGTCAGACTCTGGTCTGCCTACCACAGAAGAACAGACTTCACCATGGCTCTCCTTGAAGCTACATCTTGAGAATGACAAGATTATAGACAGACCCTCCAAGGCCAAGCCATGTTTTCCCTCTTCCTTCCTATCTTAACCTTGATATGGTTCCCTTCCAAGTGCTTCCAAGGCATATGCATCAAGTGAATCTATTTCCTAAGCTTGAGCCACAAGAGTTGTTAGGACATTGAAGACAGAAAAATGTGCTAAGAAACACGGCTAGATAGAGACACACTAGAAAAGTATATTCTCACCACCTCACTGGCTTGGGTATGTTTTTCTTATCATCGACATTTGTTCATAAGTATTTTCGGGGGAGATATCCGCATTGAGTGGCAGGAACAGTCTAGAAAACATCTCTTTCAGGTGCGCATTGACAAAAAACAACAGCCTATATATGTTGCTGGCCAATGGTAGATTTAAGAGGTAGAAATGCATTTTCCTTCCATCTGTGGTCCATCTACCACTACCTCTGAATAGTGCAACCAAAACCAAAATTCTTCTCTCAAGTGATCAATGCTACTGGGCTTGGTGAGATTTCTCCCACAGCTGAATGACCAGCAGAAGTAACTCAAAGATGTTGGTTCAGAAACGGCAACATTGTCTCAACAGTGCTCACCTTTCGTTTCCCCATCATCCCAAAAAAGTTCGCCTTTTGCTTCTTTGTTCTCATCTAGAGCAATGATAAGACCAAGAGGGTTCTGTCGGCTGTGGGAGACAAAACTTATGTAAGAGACGAAGACTTGGGATTCAAAGAATTTTGCCAAATGAGCTGGGAATGATTCTATCAGATTTCAAATAGGAAAAATGGGAAAGGTTACTAGCAGCAGGCAGCTCTGCTTTTCTTCAGGCACAAAGGCAAAATCAATAGGCTCTTCTTTCTCTAGATTAATCAGTAATGTCACAAGAGATAGAAATACCTCAAACATTAGCAACAATCATCTATGTAGGAGGCAAGAGGTTAAGCACCAGAATCACTGCAACAGCTACAATAAAAACTGCTGATGCAACTATTATTTAGAATGCAGACTATTAGAAGAGAATGAAATCCTAGACAAAAATTGGTTTGGCTTCATCATTTTAGAGATGATATGTGCAGGAGAAATATTAACTGCCATTGGGGGGTTATTTTTTTCCTTGCCTAAGAATCATTTTGACTCAGAAAGCCACAAAATAAAGTAAGGTCCATCTATATAATGGCAACTTTCCTAATTTGCTTATTTATTATTAGTTTGTTTTGAGAGAAAAATAAAATCATTCTAACTACTTGCTTTATAATTTAGAATAGGAAACACAAAACACTTAAAAAGATGGTAAAATAGATGGATATATAGAAAGAAGGGGAAGAAAGAGCACTTTCATTTGGAATCTCGTCATTTCACCACTCCTCTAGACGACCTCCCAATTTCCTGCTCCTGTTGCGTCCCTCACTGACCTCACATTCCTATCGTATTCTTTCACGGTTCAGCCTTTCACTATGCCCTATGCAAGTTAGATTCCTTTATCAACAAAATCACCCACTTTCATTTAACATGCATGTATTGAATAGCTTTCATTTGCTAGGAAGCCTAAGAGATATAAAGACAAATAGATCACAACTCCACTGATGACCTTAAATATTCTAAGAAAGATTAAACATATTCACCAAATAATCAAAGCAGAAAGTAAGAGTGACACAAAAGTTACAAAACTTAGAGGAGTCCAGAATGACACTTCCAGCAGTATGGTGGACTAGGTATCCTGGAGGACACTAGACACTCTAAAGGACCCACCCACTAAAATAGTACTTGCTCCTGTATAAATTATAACACATGATTCTTGAAGGGAGCTAATGTGATCGCAAGTTGACAGAAGTCCTGGCTTGCAATCGGAGAGAAAGCAAATCATCTCTGGAGGAATGAGGCCCACATTTGGTTCCTTAAGATCATCACCTTTAAAAAACAAAAAATTACTAAACACACAAGGTAATAACACAGCATGAAAGAAAGTTGGCAAAACAACTAATATTGATTTAGATTCCCCTAAGGACTTCAGATAATAGAATTTTCAGATACAAAGTATAAAATAACTATGATTGAAATACTTACTAATAAGGAGGAAAGAAAAAAAATCAGCTAAACAGCAAAAAAGTATAAGAAATGACCAGAAAGTTGAAAGTGGCAGCACTCCCTCTGCTGGAAGAGTTGGGGGAGATTTTTTGCAGATGAAATCTGAGTTTAATTTGGAGTATCATTAGGAATGCACCAAGCAAAGAATGTTGGAAAAGGTAATAAGTGCTGAAGCCCAAATGTGGTAAAATACATGGGTATGTTTGGGGAATGGCAAGATTTTTGGCATGGCTGGTCTAGAAGAGTATATTAAGGTGTGTCAGGAGACACGGCTGTTAAGTTATCTTGGAACCAGATTGCGATTGGCCTTGAAAACCCTACTAATGAAAAAGTTTGGACTTCTAGTAGGGAAGCAAAAAGTCGAGATCTTCATTTTGGAAAGATAATTTTGATATCAATATGCAGAACAGAACAATAGAAACTGAACAATGAGAGAAAAAGAAACCAACTGGTACTGCATGTAGAAGTATTCTCCATCAGTATCATAAAAAGTCTGAATTTGAAAAATTAAAATAGTAAGAAATGTTCCAAAGAAAAGACAGGTTTCTAACTTGCAAAGTACTGCCAGTCTGTTAAAAACAAATATGCTAATACTTTTAGAGACACTGATATAAATGTGTGCCTCTTTAGTACAGATGGAGTCTATAATTTCAGGATCAAAGAATCATAAAGGAGAAAGCAGTGGTATGAGGGAGATTTGAAGTGCACAAGAAGTAATTTTTGAGCCCCATTTTGCATCACAAGAAAGAAATGGCTCAGTAGGAAGAAAGTAACGGGGAATTGAGATTATAGGGGAATGGAAAGTGGACCCCCACTCCCTAGAAATGAGAATGAGTGAGTCAAGAGCATAGCACGATGGATGCATGGTCTGGCCAAGGCAGGTAGGGTGATCAACAGACCCGTTTGCCTGGAATTGAGAGGTTTCCCAAGACATGAGATTTTCAGTGCTAAAATTGAAATGGTTTTGGGAAAATCAGGACCACTCTAGCAGTCAGTGTGTTTTGAGGAGAAATTTAGGGAGTTTAAGCAAGGACAGGGATTAAGGTCTTTCAAAAATCCATCTAGATGCAGCCCTAAACCACAGTTCCTCAGATGAGGCCTAGGGCAATCCGAGGACTGAGTTTGATGATCACACACACACACACACACATGCACCAGTGCCCTTCCTCCCCACACTCCATGTAATGTTTCAGCATCTTCTGCATGAACAACGGATGGGAACAGAAATGACCAGATTTGCCAATCTCCCCCTTAAAGGAACTCCCAGCCAAGCTGTACCTGGCCACAGTGGTTGTGGCTGGCTGTTGTGTGGGGAAGATGTAGCCTCCTCGAAGGTGAAGTCCGATTCTGTCTCCAGGAAGTTCCATCTCCACTTTTTGCTTCCTCCATTTCACTCGGCCCCCCTGAGGCATGCAGACAAATCAAACACATTGGCAGGACAGCGCATTCACCTCTATCTCTTACCCACATGCTGAGTTACCTACAGCTTTCTCCTTTTTCCACCATAGCTGAATTACTGTATAGTCAGACAATCAAACAAGAAAAGGGAAAAAAATTAAGAACAATAAGTTTTGTCATCTGCTGGGGATTTGGGGGAACATCTATGCCGTGATGAGGCTATTTGACATATATTATATGAACTGATCGTTCTAAACAAGTAATTTGACTAGTGACCAAGCTCAATTGTCCATTGGCTCTTCCAATATTTGCTTGTGAGACATTCTACTTGAGCCTTTACCTTATTGCTGAATAAAGTATGTGAAGTATTTTTTTTCAGATTTTAGCATGACTGATGTTAAGTGACCTAGTCTTTTTATCGACTCTGCTATGAAATTACAGAAAATACTACAGACACACTCCCCAGTGTATGGATAGATATTTCCCTCTCCAGGAGGTATTTCATCTATGCAGCTGCAGCGGTGATCTTGAAGAGCTTAAGAAAAGTCAAAGCTACTTACAGTCTCATAATCATACCAGACAGCATCAGGCATATATGCCGTCACTTTCTCTGCACCCTGAAATTAAAACAAAACATTGTTCTTCATGGCCCAGCCTCCGAACGGGATAAAGCAGACTTGTTAACATTCCCTAGGGCACTTTTTAACTATATACTGAGAGTGCATAAATGGCCTTTTTTTCCTCTGTTATCCAATCATGCCTTTCTTCTAACAGGAATAATAGAGGCAATAGCTTGTCAACTCAAAGAAAAATCCCAAATGGAACCACATTAGGAATAATAATAACATTGAAACGTGTTGTGGTAAAAATTCCAGCTTTACATTGATTACCTCATTTAATCTTCCTAACAGTCCCTAGCGATAGGTACTATTATCTCACCTTCACAGCTGAGGAGCCACCACGATAACTTGCCCCAGACCACAGCAGTACTAAGTGGCAGAGGCAACAATCACACCTTGATTGGCCTGACCTTAGAATGAGTTCTGGGGCACTGCTCCATTCTGCCTCTAAGTCACGGAGCAAGTAATGATCTGCTATGAGAATCTGACAACAAATAGGACCATTCTTAAACCTGAGTCGCCAGTAGATGCTTCTACACTGGTTGGGAACTTAGTCAAGAGAAAAGGCTTCTAGAGAGAAAAATGTCTAAGTATCAGATATACAACTTCCCAAAACCTCAGCATACTCTCTTCAAGGCTGACTCAGCCACAGATGTTGGAAATGGTTTTGGAATAAAGAGAAGACAAATGGTTCCAAGAAGAGAGAAGAGTTTGGAAGGTAGCAGGACCAGAAGCAGAGATCACCAGTGTGTCTCTGTGGGAAGACTTGCCTCCTCCAGAACTGGAGTGATGAGGAGGCCGGGCCCCCATAAAAACTGTTGGTGCACATCCCAAGTGCTGCTGTCCTCATAGAACCTGGAGATCAGAGAGACGTTCACTAAGATTTGGGCCAATGCTTCCTGGCAGCTCTCCCAGAAGCCTGTCCAAAATATGCAGGCCCCCTACCTGTGGCAAACTCCCAGAATTGTTCTGTGACACCTATTCAACCCCCACCTCCCCACTCCTGCAGATGGATCCACTTTTCCCAGCCCATGTACCCTCCCAGGGTACATGTTCCCCCAGGTGGGACAGAAGTTCCTATTTCAGTATGTATGCTAGGCAGGTTTCAAGCTGTAATTCTATTTGACATATCCCCCTTTAAAAAATAAATAAAACAAGCAATATATTTTAAAACTTGGCTGACTATCAAGAAGGAATTGGATCTGATCAGGAAAAATAGCAGATAATTTAAAATTTTACTCTTTTCTCTTTTAGGATATCTTCTTTTTAACAGGGAATTCAAGAGATCAAAAACTTGCCCATAATAATCAATATATAATAGTGCAGTTGTGTGCCTGAGGGGCTAAAATGTTAGACACATAGGAGAATCAACTGTATTTTGACAAGAAAATCCTCTTAAGTGTCCTTTTTCAGAGTCAAATTAGAGATACTCATTGGCTGACAATAAAAGTTCTGGAATTCTGGAAATCCTCTACAATATTCTTATTTGTATGTAAATGACAGGCTCATTCCTAAAGCCTGAATATAGTGCATTACATAAGAGACCATAATGTTCAAGCTAACAAATGCTTTAAATTAAGACTAAAGAAACTAAGGATGAAAGAACTTAAGTGATTTGTCTAAGATATAGAGTTGGTTGGTGACAGAATAAAGAAAAGACCCTGAGTCTCATGACTTTTAGTCTGGTTCTCTCCCCAAAAGGGAACATGCTATAAAACTTAAATACACCCCAAGAATAGTATCTATGCAGCAATAGCCTTGCAAATACCAACTGGGTATTCCAGTTATAAAACATGTACCTAAATAACTGTTTGAGTTGTTTCAATTTTCACTCATATTTGATGATACAGTCAATGATACCCAGTTGTGCTGACAAAATTCCTTTGGATTAGGTGAACTTACTCATGCAGGAGGGGCCTGGCCACTGTGTCCCCCTGGCTGTGAGCTCGGTAGAAGAGGGTGTAGAGGTAGGGCAATAGAGTATAGCGGATGGTAAGGTAGTGCCGGGAGGAATTCAACAGCAGAGAGTCAGCTCCAAAGGAGGCAGGATCCTGGGCCTTGAAGGAAACAAGAGGTTGCAGTTGTGATCTGGCTATGAAAAACAGAAGCATCTGAAGAACTCCAGACCACATTCATCAAAATCAAGAGTTTCCTTCCTGAAAGCCTGGGGGTCCGGGTTGCAAACTTCACCACTGAACTGTACAGTTGGGCAAAGGGAGATCATTTCACTGAGTAAGTGGCTGTTCTTCACCTTGCAACTCAGCCTCCTCATTCACTCTTTAGGAGTGTTCTCTCGGGAGACTGCCATTTAAATAATTTTGAAGTATTTCCTCCTTTGATTCTCATTACACAACGAGCAATGTAAACAAACTGTACAGAGGATTGAATAAAACCTTCACAGACTCGCCATTCTCTTGACTGCAGTAGCTGGAATAGCAGAGGCTGTGGCAGCAGGGCATTTTAATGGAGCATCAGAGGTCCTGGTTAATTGGAAACAGTGGTGCAAATTAGCCTAAGGAAAGCACCAGGTAGGAAGTTGGCTCAACAGATTTCTTGGCAAGGATGCAGACAGATCCAGTCCTAATGTATGCCAAATTTATTTTGATCTTATCTCCTGGGAGACTTACCTTGTAGCCTTGGCCATTGTGATTCCTGGAAAATGGATAAAATGCTCCCAGCTGCATCCACCGCCTGCAGAGCTCTTCAGAGGTATCCAAGAAAAAGCCACATATGTCAGGACCCACCTGGGGACACACAGACAGCGTGTATACCTCACTGCCCTCACCGCCCTCCTTTGCTTTCTACCAGGGACCTGTCAACTGAACTTTGCTAACCTCTTACTGAGACGGCTAATAAGTGTGATCAAATTGGGTTGTATCCTGTGTCCACTCTTTACTGCTAGGTGGCTAAGTTACTTCACCCTTCTGTGTCTCAGTTCCCTCATTTTGTTAAAGTGGGCACTAATTAGCTACACAATGTTTTAGTAAATGAGATAACATAAGTAAAATACTTGACATACAACATTAGTCTTTTGACCACAACACTCTCAGAATTAATTTTCCAAAGCCTAAATCTGATGATGTCATTCACCTCTTCAAAAATCCCCAGGGTCTCCTTGCTGCTTATGCTGTTAGCTCCTCAAAACCTGGTTCCAACCCACCTTTCCAGCATCACTTCCCACTCCAGTCCTACATACCAATCCTTACAGACACATCAAATTCTCCCCCTTACTGTTTTTGCTCATGTTCATTTCTCAATCTTAAAATGACCTCCCCCCCCATTACCCTGAGGAAATATACACACTATTCAAGGTTAAACTCAAGTGCCATATTTTCCAGGAAGTTTCTCTTGACTCCCTCCCCTTACTGCCTTTGTTCCTCGTAATCTTGTCAGAGTTAAGTCCCTTTCTCAGGGTCTCCCCTGACATTTAATTCCTATGGCCCCGTTGGGACTTTTAGCCTATCTTGTAATAATTATTTGCTTACATATATGTCTCCTCTTACAAAATTTTAAACTCTTTGGGGAAAGAGAAGGTGTTTCTGTTATTATATTTATGCTTTTCTCCACTCTTACCATGCATACCCAGCTCAGTATCTTGCACATAGAAGGAGCTCAGTAAATACATACAATGAATTTAACTAAAAGATGCTAAGGCCACCTCTAAGGTGCCGGCAACGTTCCATTTCCTCATCTGGGTGCTGGATACTCAGATGTGTTCGGTTTGTAAAATTCACCAACTGTATATATTTAAGGATATGTGCACTTTTTTATGTGTATGTTATACTTTAATAGAAAGAAATATTCCGATGATATTTCAAGGTTGTACTTCCTATCTTTAGAAGTCAGTACAGGAAAGAATTTGTGGTATCAGAGCCATACTGATGTAGATGAAATACATGCTCTCAAGACATTAAATCCCTGGGCCACAGAGGGTAGGAGAGGGGAGGTTTACGGTTTGAAAACTTTCTAGAATGAGGCTTTCTGGGGATTGAAGTTCCTAAGAGAGCTTAGGACGTGGACTCACCATTGGGATACCAAAAAGGTTGAACTCAAGGATGCCAGGGATGGACCATCGAAGGTCGTTCCAGGTGGCTGTGTTGTCTCCTAACCAATGGGCTGCAAACTTGCCAGATCCCGCAAAGGTAGAACGGGTTACAATGAAGCTTCTCTTATTAGGGAACACGGTATTGACCGCTCTAAAAAGGAGAGAGACTTAGGGAGTCAGTGTGTGACCTTAGCGTATCTCAGCCCAGGGGATACAGCAACAATACCAAGGATCTAAAAAGTTAATACCCCAATCTTCTCTTTCAGTTCTCTCCCAGTAAGGTAAGAGTTGCTGCTGGGAGCAGTCTGCACACTAAGTGTGTTTATGTTTCGTTTTGTTTTGTTTTGTTTTGTTTCGTTTTGTTTTGTAGTAAGGTGTTTTATATACATCATTAACTCCAAACTTCCAAGAATTTCTAAAGCAGACTTGAAAAGGCTACTAAGTAGAGGGATACAATTTTATGGAACAAAGGTGAAATTTAAATTTATATAGATATACATATACATTAGTCTTTCATATTGTGTGACTTCAGACATATTCAAAAATGGACTTACGATGGCCTTTTGGAACTTAAATTCTTTTTAAGTAGAAATATTTTGGTCATAATTTTGTAATAAGAAAAGACTTTTTAAAATTATATATGTATGTGTGTACTTTTATAATTAAATATAAATATATATCATTATATTTTTAAAATTAGAAGTCTATACATATACTTAAAAATTTTTGCTCTGTAACTTTTCCAACAACGTTCAAAAAAACTAGTTACACCCATGATTTTGCTAATGAATGAAAGCGGTTTTGGTCTGGTTTCTTGCTGGCACATCACGGTTAAGTAGAATAAATTCTCAATACCTTTTCCTCACTACAGAATTTTAGTCCATATTCAAAGGTAGACGTAGCACAGTAGAAGGATTCTGAGCCAGTATCTAAAACCCCAAAGCACATGGACATCTACAAGTTACTTAGCACTCCATACTCCAATCTATACAGTGTGGAAAAGAGGAAAATACATGGTTTTGGATTCATGCAGAAATGGGTTTTAATTTTGCTTTTACAATTTATTAGCTGTTTGACCTTGGTCAGTTACTCCTCTTTCCTTCTTCCTACCTTCCATTCATTCATTCTTTCATTTTATACATTTCATAAATATTTACTGAATTCCTTCTTCCCCCTGTGCTAAGTAGCTTCTTCGTTCACTCAATAATGATAACCATACTTATCTTGCAGAGTTTTAAAAAATAATTTATGTGAGTCACCTGGCCCTCTAGCAAGATCAATTAATTTGATCATGTATTAAGACCATAACAATGGTGGTCTTACTCTTCAGTGGCAATCGCCATTGAGTAGCCATACAGATTGTGGACATCATACTGCTTGCCCCAGTGCTGCACTGCATCCATGCAGAGACTCTTGCGGAACAGGTACCCATCCAGGACCCCTGGGACAAAAGAAGGATCAGTCAATGAAAGCCTAAGACGCACATTCCCTGCTCTTTGACTATCAGAGAACTTGAAATGGTGGCTCCCTGGGCAGGCATTTACTGTGGCCATCCTGTAAATGATCATACAGATTCCTCATAATCAGAGGGCTATCCATTTGGAGTAGTTTCTCTGATATATAACTAAATTGTGCTGACCTATACACATTCTCTCACCTGGGCACTCATGTGACTAGAGGCCGGCATTTGGATCCAGGCCGGCACTTGTTAGGACAAATAGATCCAGTTAGAATCGAAGCCCAATCTGAATTCTTCGAACTAAGCTAAGTTATGTGGTCCAATAATAGAAATATTGGATGAAAGTATAAATTAATTTCTCACCCCTTCCCTCCTTTAGCCATATATTATGAAGGATGATTTCCCAGATATATTCCCAGATGATTTCATTTATCTACTCTTTTCTGTTCCCATTGACCCACTCTGGTTAAGATCCAAATTACCTTTAGATCTTAACTATTGCAACAGTTTTTAATGGTTTATTTACTTCTGATATATATTCTAATTCATACTGCACATTAACGCCAGATTAATATTTTCAAAACCATTTGACTATCAACTTCCCTCTTACCAAAACATAAATAGCTTCTATCACCAAAAGAACAAAGTGTGAACTGTTTACCTCCCATCCAAGTCCCTCAACATTTGATTCTGACCCATCTGCCCCAATCTCTTATTTTCCTGCCAGACTGGAAGACCTTATAAGATGCTATAATTCTAGCAGCTTCCTTTCTTTCTTAATCAAGATACAATTAATGAGCCTCTAGCTTTCTTCAAACTCCAACAACTTCAATCACAACAAGGTGTGATTTCTAGCGCCACATCCTGAGACATAGCGTTGTTCAAACCAATCAACTCTCACTAGCACCATATTCTGGTGTTCACCTCCCACGTCATGGTTTCTGGTTTCCTTTCATCCTATGGCTCATTCTGTTCTTCTTACTCCTGTCATCACCAGAATTGACCCTCATCTGAAGACCAAGCCTGATCTCTCTCTGGTAAGCCCTGATCTGTGGGGGTACACATTGGAGAGCAACATAAACTAACCACTAGCCTCTGGCTTCTGCACCATATCTTCTCTGGACCTTCCGTTAGAAAAAGCTCAGACTGCGGGTAGAAGGACTAGATTGCCCCTTTTGAATTTATGCCTCATTTAGGAAAGCATGGGTGCTTTATTTTCTTTCCTAGTTTTCTTTATGTATTAACCACATTCTCCCTTATCTAAGCATATTTATGTACCAACTCCCTTGCCAGGTTGTTCATATCTATCCTCGTGAATTTAAAATGTCAAATACGCATTGCCACTTTAACCAGACTAACCAGCAAGACTTACTGGGAGTGAAAGGGGGATAATTCATATCGCTTGTGGAACATCCTGAAACGGAACCATCAACGAAGTTGGCGACTTCATTCATATCCTACAAGAAAAAAAGCAAAAACTATCAAGAAAAAGTAGTGTGTTTGCTTATGTTGGACTGATGGCATCTTTTTTCTTTTGAGGAATCAGAGAAATTATTCCAGATATTTCTTTTTTGTTTGTTTGTTTTTTGTTTTGTGTGTGTGTGTGTGTGTGTGTGTGTGTGTGAGGAAGATTAGCCCTGAGCTAACATCTATCGCCAATCCTCCTCTTTTTGCTGAGGAAGATTGGCCCTGGGCTAACGTCCGTGCCCATCTTCCTCTACTTTATATGTGGGATGCCACCACAGCATGGCTTGATAAGTGGTGTGTGGGTCTGTGCCCAGGATCCGAACCTGTGAACCCCGGGCTGCGGAAGCAGAGCGCACAAACTTAACCACTATGCCACTGGGCCAGCCTTCAGATATTTCTCTTTTAAAGAGGTTCTTATGTACATGGAGAGAAATAGATGTTCCTGTCTTCTCTACCCACTGAAGCCTTCATGGAAAAGTTTCCTAAAAATCCCTTCAAAATGATTTTTGTCTGAACTCACTGAAAATTTCCACACATATTAGGTGAAAAAAGATTTCAATTTATATGATTCCATATATATCAATCTATACATTCTCTGTATATCCAAATATAGCTATGAATACACACACATATAAATATATATACATATATAAACATATATACATGCAGAGAGAGTGAGAAAGTGAGCCAAGAGCTGTGCAAGTGAGGGGTCTGGAGAGATGCATACCAAAATATTGATTGTGGATGTCTTTGGTTGACATCATTTTAGAGAGTTTTTACTGTCATCTTTTTAGCTCTGTATTGTTTGAATTTTCTACAGTTTTCTTATAAATAGAAAAAAGCTCAACTCTAAAGCTCCCTAAATTTTGCTGAACATCTGCTGCTTTGCATTTTTTTGATTTGATATTATAAGAGACATTTGTTTTGACTGAAGCCACAGTGTTCTCATGCACCTGGGTAACTTGGCTCTGGTCAATCTGTCCAACACATCCAAATGAAACAACCTTGAACTGGCAATTGAACAATTCATGTACTGTGCAATAAAGTAAGGAGTATATGACCTATTTTATTTCAGCTCATTCATTTGTAAAAGGAGAGTTGGACTTGGAAAAAGCAAATTTCTGAGTTTACTTCCAGCTCTAACAATCTGATTTTGATTCTAAGCTACATGTTTTGGTAAGATTATTTCAATCGTAAAACAGGTAATACTTAGAATTATTGTCATACTTGCTTTCTTCTCCTCCTCTTCCCCCTGTGCGCCATTACCCAAAGACATAGATATACACAATCTGAATATTAGTCACCCGTATTCAGAGTATTAAGAACTCACAATCCAGATTCCATCAAACTCCACTTGGTTGTGGAAAAGTTCAAACTCCTTTACCCACCAAACAGCACACTGGGGGTTTGTGTAATCAGGAAACACAGTCGTTCCAGGCCAGACCTGTAGGAGAAAAGGAAAAACACTGATTAGAGTAAACTAAATAAATATGGAGTAAAATAAAGTACTTTGCAAAGAAATTCCTAATATGGTCACACCAACAGAGGCACCCAGGCACAGGTCCTTTTCAGTTAGAAATGTGACGCACTCCAAAGACTTAGAATAAATGTCAGGAGGAGTCAAATAGTCACTTGAGGAAAAACTTACTTTAAAAAAATGGTTAAATCCGTGCTAACCTTCAACTCTGCTTCACCGTTCCCTCTCACTTTCTCTACTCCCAATTCTAGGAATAGTAAATGACGGAGAGTACTATATAAATTTCAAGTGTTCCATTACAAGTTGTGGGTTCTCAGCATCAATCCCTCTTCTCTACTCCTTTCCTATCCACTTCCTCTCAGACACTATGCAGTGGGGTCATCAGAGGTATTAGAAGTGGAAACACCTCCATGGAAAACGAGGACAAACAAAGATTTGAGAAAGAAGTGATCAAACTTGTCAAGTACTACAGAGAAATAGAGGAATGAAACAGTTCCATTGGCTTTGCCAGTTAGGAGGTGACTGGTGCCATTTGGCAGGGCAGTGTCAGTGAAGTGATGGGGGAAGGCGGAAGAAAGTAGACTTCAGTCAGTAGAAGAGTGAATGGGAAGTAAGGAAGTGGATATTCAGTATGAAAGTTACCATTTAAAGGGATTTGGCTGTGAAGGGAATGTGAAAGTTAGGATGGCTGTTAGGTATTTGGGAATGAAAGGACAAGGGAAAGTTTATCCCCAGCATATATAAGGCATCTGAACAACACACACACACACACACACACACACGCACACTGCCGCAGCCCGTTCACCAGCCCCCAGCTTCCCCATTATAGTACCTCCCCAATGAGTGGAGTCACTCCATCAGAAGCGTTCACCCATATCTTCATATCTGAACCCCTGTCATAGGGGCTGTAGGGATGACTTGGTGAAGAGTTGTTGGAGATGGCTGGATCCTAAGAAGGGAAAATACAATGAAGGACCTAGCTTTAAGCTAAAGGCTTTGAAAGGAGATTGGGAATTGGGGGACAAAGGAGGGGGAGGTGGGTGTAATGACAAGAAAGAACAAGTACCTGATTTGGGGGGAAAAGAGAGTGGACATACCACCATGATGACGAGTTTCTGTCCATTATTGTGTAACTCTTCAGCAAACTCAGGGAAGCCTCTATAAGCTACTGGATTATAAGTGAAATCCTTCCTCTCATCCATATAATCAATATCAGCATGCTGAACATCCTGAAAGAATGCACAAAGTCCACAATTTAACACCTAAGAATTTCCCTATTAAAACGAGTCCATGGAATTATCATTGTTATTATCCACGATAAACACCGACTCTGCCTGGACTCTAACAGAGCTCTTATTCGGCTGCTGGCATCTAAGTGCTTCTTTTCCAAGGGTAATCTCAAAACCAAAGGACCCACTGTTTCCCTAAGGCCTGACTCCACCCCTGCAATCAGGTTAACTGCAGCATCCTACCTGTTGACGGGCGCATCAAACAAACCAAAACAACAATTACAACAAATCACTATGACTATCAAAAACATATATTACCTAAATCTTACCCTTCCCACAAGATAAAGAGGGGAAGGCACTGTCTCTCCATTTCTCCTTCATTTTACTACCCTACGGTTTCTTCTCTTACTTGTCTTCTACTTCAAGTCTTCTTTGGCTATTATTCTTCCTAATTTTACCTGTGTGATAGTGGAGCCCAAAGTAAAACTGACTCTTGCTCTAGAACCTACTTGTCTGCTTCCAAGGGAATAGGATGGGAAAGAAGAAGATTATTCCAGAGACTTTTGGGCTTTTCCCTTTGTATCTCTTGTGAAACTTCATTCCTCATTACAGCCTCCAATAGAATAGACACATTCAAATTTAGCCATTCAAAACATAAAAATATTTTATTACATGTATGTACCGTATCCTTTTGCTCACCTACACCAGGGAAAGAAATACCTTGAGAACCCAAATAAAAATGTGTTATGTAAAATATAATCAATACAGTAAGCATAAGAAAATTTTACTGATAACATACGTGATAAGAAAAATAGAGACAAGAACAGATTGCCTCCTGACCTCATAATTGTAGTCTATAAGTACTATTTCCTACAAAAGAGAACCAGTTCCTCAAAGAAATGGCTGGCCCAATAAAAAAAAGTCTAGCATTCTGAATATCTAAAACTTTTTATTATTTATTTTTTTAAAAAACTCAGGGGGAGAAAGTATAAACAGTTGTTCTATTTCCCCAAGGGAATTCTTGTATTTTTGGAGGATTTTTTAAAGCCTTACTTACGTAAGGCAGCTGTGCTGCACGGTTTCTCTCCACAACTTCTTTCATGTTGTCCAGGGTCTCATAATCATAACGACTGAGATGAAATCCAAGTGCCCAGTATGAGGGTAGGGCTGGCCGTCCGATGAGCTGAAGGAAATATGTGAAATGAAAGTCAGCAAATACTCTATTTCTAATAAAACCATTTCTAAGCGTTGGCTTACAGGCACAAAACATACTCCATTTTCCAATACACTATTTCATTAATGTTAGAATGTCAGTCTATTTTCCCAGCCCTTTTATAAATCATTGAGAGTAGGGTCAATTTGTAATAGCAGATTTATAATAGCTACTTGTAAAAGCAGATTTTTATGAGTCACACTTGAATACTAAATTTATTTTTCTTTGTGCTATTTAGGATTTTTCTCTGTCATAATCATGATACAATAAGTTTACCTCCAGATACTCTTGAACAACTTGTTCTGGAGTGTTTCCCAAGAACACATAGAAGTCGAGAATGCCCCCAATGGTGCGGTAAGTGACTGCTGGGGCAGGCTGGAGGGCAACCTCTAGAAAGATTAAAAATGAATAAAATAAAAATTAGAATTTATTCTAGAGTAATAATAGCAGAGTTTTAGACCAGAGGATCACCAACCATCTGAACATTAATAAAGCAATCCTAATGCCTCAGGTTTTATATACAGAGGGACAAACTCTGACGATCAAAGTTTACCCTCATAGCACATGAGAGCCAAAGCATTTGTTGTGTGTGTGACAGATTTCTATAATTGGTGACTGGAGTGTCTTAACTCCCTTGAGGACTCAAGCTCTCATGAAAAAGCAACCAGGTTCATGAAGGAGTCTAGAATAATGCACTGTGGCATAAAAATTATTTTAAGCTGAAAACATTCACGTTTCTAAAATCCCTTATCTAACCAAAAGTACAGCCTCCCAAAAGAACTCAATTGTCTGTTACTTCAGTGAATGGAAGTGATCCCTATTCTATGAGGCATGTAGTGAAGTGTTTAAGAACAGTTGTAATAAAGACGTTTCTAAGAATGCTACTTGCAAGCTGTGTTGAGAACTGTGTTATTTCAATGAATAGAAGTGGTACCCATTCTGTAATGCATGTAGTGAAGTGTTTAAGAACACTTGTAATAAAGATATTTCTAAGAAAAAAAAAAAGAATTCAATTGTTATAAATCCCCTCTCCTGTAGTAACTCTAATCTTCTCTGAGATAATAAATTGGCACCACATCAAACCTACATTGTCACAACACCATCATATCCCCCATCTATTCTCCTAAGGGTTCATTTATCTTTCCAAAAAGTCATTTGTTTTCCCATAAGTGCCCTTTATCCCTCCTACCTCCTCTAAGAAGTCATTTGTTTTATCCTAAGTGCCTTTCTCCCCCCCCCCATTTACCTATTAAGATGGTATATAAGCCCCAATTCTAACCACCCCTTTGAGTTACTCTTCACTGAGCACTCCTGTGTGTATACATGTTGCACATGTCAATAAACTCTGTTTTTTCTCTTGCTAATCTGTCTTTTATCAGTTTAATTCACAGGACCCTGAGAACAAAACCTAAGAGGGTAGAGCAAAAATTTTTCCTCTCTGATATTCGCAACTAAAGAACATGTTCCCACCCCACACTCCATGGTTATTGCAGGAATATAACCCAACTAGACACACTGGGGTACACACTGAGGTACACACCTCAGTGAATCTCATATCAAGCAAGAGCCAGACTAAAAAATTGTCAGAGATTATACTATAAATTCAAAATCCATCTAAGCCCTAATCACCATTCTCAGAGGTGAAGTCTCCCTATAGCCTTGGTTTGCAATTAGGGAGATCTAATGAAACGTACTCTTTGGTCATAGGAACAACTCTCTCAGAGTATCTAGGATCCTGTGACCTTTCTTTTAAGACTGACTCGACTTGTTTTCTGGTCTTTCAACTACCTGAAACTGTATGATCCTTGCATTATCTTAGTCTATTTTTAGACTATTAGGTATCTTAGAATCATCTTAGATCACCAAGAGTGATCCTCAAACAATCTGTGGTGAAAGATCAGATCTTTACTTTTTTATTTTCACATTCACTGTAAACTGATACTTCCATAAAATAAAATGAAAGTAAATTACTAGAAAAAGGTTCATGCATGCACTTGGATGCTATGGCAATGCTTGGTCTCAACTTCTATAGTCCTGCTACTGTAGACCTGAAACAGTTTGTGAACCATCTGTGGGCCACTCTTCAGCAGCACTGACCTAGTCCAGTGATTGTCAGTTGAGGAGAGGGGGGGATCAATACCCTATGCCCACCATCAACTCTGGGAGATTCTGATACATCTCCTCTTCCCCTCTGGTGATTGATTCATTGCTACTGGGATCTGTTGTTACTGGTGAAAGCAGAAAAAAGTTGAGAATCATTGATCTACTCTAAAACCTTCAAAGAAGGTGAAGCTAGCTACTTTCTGGAATCCTAGGATATTACACTCTTTGGTCTTAAGCTATCTGATCTTACTCTGCACGACCCTTGCCACTCCACTTTACCTCACTACCTTTGGAGTGTCTGAATGCAACAATGCTCAGTTGTAGTTCCCTGGTTAGGCTCAGCTACTGTCATCATTAGGCCCAGAGCAATTGACTGTTTCCTACCAGAGTTTATATCAACCCCTCTACTAGATAAAAGTCTAAGCAAGGAGAAGAACAAATTGGTAGGAACTGCCTCTGAGTAGATTATAGGAAAGGGTTAGCTGTCTTAACTTTACATTAGAAAATATTCCAACAGAGGCAACCAGATTCGGGAAAATCGTAAGCTAGGCGAGAAACCCCTACTCATGGCTACCATGGGTCAACAGGTAATGAAGCAAATGAAGTAGGGATGGAACAATCACAGACTATGCAAGGCCCTAAGCTATGGCTCAACCATTCTTAAACGGCTCCATTCCTTTTACCACAGTGCTGTAAGAAAGGGACTGACAATCACTCTTATGCATTTTTTTTCATGAACATTCCTTCAGTCTTTTACCCATGGCATTGCTGTTCATCAGAAACACTCCAAAGGACAATCCACTAGCATCTTCAAGACACAGGAAGAATGTCTGTGAACCATACAAGTTAGTTCCATCCTGCAGAAAGAGAATTAAATTTACCATCTAATAATGTAAACCCCACATGGCTAGAAATGAATTAGGAAGTCAGTATTAAACATGTGAGTAATTGACAGGGAACTCACGGTCAAAGAAGACACAAACAAATTTTAAAAATGCAAGGTCTATATTTGGTTGATGTTAATCAAGTGAATTAGTGTTCTCTTACTGAATGAGCCAGTTATGACCATTTATCTAATAGGAATGTGAGAGCCTATGGTATCTGTTAGGATGTGGGAGAAGAAGAATTTTGAAACTCTAGTTCAAAAAAGCTCTTCTCTCAAAAAGGCTTGTCTTAACCTTGTCTCCAAGCGGCTTGACATAACCCCATCTGCAAAAGCTCCATCAAGCCTAATATGAATCAGGCACCTTTCTAATGTGCAACTAGATAGCGCTCTACTCGAGATATCTAATCTTCTAGTGTTTAGAACAGTCAATTTTAGAGCTTGAGCTGGCCTGCTAAGACTTTAGAACAGTAATTCTCAACCTGGACTGCATTCCAGCCTAATTAAAACAGAATCCCTGGGGACGGAAGCAGGCATTGATATTTTGTTAAATTTCCCAAGGTGATTCCCATGTGTTTTCACGTTTGAGAATCACTGCTCTAGAACACCATTTCTCAAAATTTGGTCTGTCTGTGAATTACATAGGAATTTTAATTAAATGTGGATTCTAATTCAGTAGATGGAAGAGGGAGCTGAGAGCCCACATTTCTCACACGGTGGTGCCCATTTGAATAGCAAGGATCTGAGGCTCCTTATTTAAACAACCTTCACCAGCCATTCCCAGATGAGCTGCTTTGACTTAACACCTTTTCTGATAGACATATGGTACAATAAGGAGGATGGGCTTTAAGTTAGACAGGCCAGGGATTAGATCTTATCTCTGTCCCTTACGAACTTTCTTTTTTCACATTGGGCTATTTATTTGGCTTTTCTGAGTCTCAGTTTCCTCGTCTGTTAAACGGAGTAAGTTATACTTTTTTTTTTCAGAGTTCTTTTGGTCAATAAAGATAATTTATAAAAATAGTAACTTATAAATTATTCCTTTGATCTCCTTTCATCTAGCCACTAGATCTGCCTAATCAGGAAAGTTGCTGAACAAGACATTTGTGTAGTATTGCCGAGCTTAGAAAATAACTCTGCTTTGGGTTTTAGCAATCAAAACAAACAAAATAAAGCAGAACAATAACAACAAAACTCTACTCTTTCGCTGCCCCAAACATTCTTCACACAAAGAATAATGAAAACAGTATTTTAGTTGATATTTTATTCTATTTTGCTGACAAATCTGGTAAGTTGGTGATTTATAAAGGTGAACCTAAAATATGACGATCATAACCAACATATTGTGCAGAGTTGACGTTAGTAATGTTTTCTCCACAATGAGTTAGTTCAGAAGTAAAATAAAATGAAAAATAGTTGGCATTTATTGAGCACTTTCTATGTGGCAGATACCCTTCCAGAGACTCTATGTATATTAATTCAATTGATTCCCATCACAACCCTATGAAGTAAGGACATTACTCCCATTTTATAGATGAGGAACTGAAGACACAGAGAGGTAACTGGCCCAGAACCACATAACTGGTGAGTAGCAGTGCAGGATTCAGACTCAGATAGCCTCACCCTAGAATCTCTTACTCTTGACCATTATACTGTACTGCTGGCAGTGATCTTCAGAAATGAGGCTATGATATTCAGTGGAGAGAGACCCATCTTGAAAGCTTACTCCATTGGGGGTTGTGTCCCTGGCAAATATGGGCCACGTCTTCCAGTTCATATCATGCCGGTACTGCTGGTGCACATGTTCTCCCAGACCATATACGTTAGCACTCGGCAGTCGGATGGAGAGCTGCAGGAACTGATCAGCAAATAAGAGGGGTCCAATGCTTGAGTCAAACCTAGACACAGGCGGGAAACAAGGACAGGTGAGCAAGTGAGGTGGAGAGAATACAGCTGTTTAGCAAAGCGTTCTTTATATTTCAATGTTTAATTGAAATATTTAATTGGCCCCATTTGCCCTCCTGTGACATTTTTCCATGGGCACCAAGAGATCAGGACTTCTTGAGGGCAGGTAGCACGCGGCACTCCCTACCAACATGACCAAAATACTATTCTTACATTATAGTAGATGTTCCATAAATAGTTAATGGTGGATAGGTAGTTAGATGGATGGAGGAAAGAAAGGAAAAAATGATCAAACAGAGGGAAAAAAAAGAAAAAGACATGATTCAGTGTCTGGCCTATAATAAATGCTTAGTAATAACACACACACACACACCAAGGGTGGAAGGCAGAAAAAAGTATACATCTGTAGGTAGAGAGTCTGGTCACCAACGGTGGGCTCCCAACCTTCAGGAAACTGTTGAAATGCACTCTTCCTCGGGCTTGAAAACCTTCCTCCCCCATAACCTTCCTACTCTGATCCTCAGACAGATTTTCAAAACTTACAGAACACGATCATTGCTTCTTCTGATCACTTTGATGCTGAATGGCTGTCTGGAGACCTCAACTTCGTAGGTCAAGGGAGAAGCAGCATTCCCTTTGAAGGGTTGCACGTGTTCATGGGGCACTTCGTATCGGTCCTGGTTTTGGTCAGTTAACTGTCCAGAGACAGAAGAGAAAGAAAGCTAAAATGAAAACTTCTCTGTTTTTCCAAAATAGAAGCATCCTTAACAACACCAGTGATTCCCAGTATCAGTGCTCATGGTACTGGAACTCAGGCACTGATCCAGACGGCTTTATGTTTGAGGTGGATGTTCACATTATATTACCACATTAAAAGGTTTAACATTTGGGCGTACATTAGCCTTTAGGTAGAAATACACACTGTAAGTCTGCAGAGATGGACTATCCCTAGAATTTTCGAAGCTGTGATAATTCTTTTTCTTTTCCCTCCTTATTACATTTCACATGGTATCAATGGCAAATAAGTGACAGCCAAAGCTCACCAGTCAACTCACAATATATATTTAGGAAGTTATCACACTGAAGAAAGGCAATAGATGCCTTCAACATACAGGTGCTAAGTAAGAATAATGACAGTGGAGAAAAATACCTCCATTAGTAAAATTTTCTATTTTGTAGTAACTGCCATCATCAGGTAGAGAACAAAAACCTCTCAAAAAGATCTTTAAAGAATAAACAAACTACAACCTTAAAGTGGAAACGATTAGATGTCTGGTATTCCGCTGTGAGGAGGACGTTGTCGACATCATTTCCAAACAGGGATAGAGAAGGCAACCTTTTCAACTGCGCTGTGAATCCTAGTATGGAGAGGGAAAAAGGTATACATAGCTGTCTGTGTACATTTGCAAACAATAGCCACATAAAAATTAAGCTTTATGTGTCGAAGGGGCTGGTGAAAAGACTTTAATTCCTCCAAAGAAGGGAAGAGAGAGATATACACCTCATCCTACACATATACCACTGGACCAGATTCTGAAGCTAGGCATTGATTGTCATTACCTTCTCCAAAAACCATGCCTCTCTTCTGCAAAATCTGATTGAAAACGTCCCCCAAAAGACCAAACTCTCATTCCGCCAGCCCATCAGACATTCTTTGTTAATCACGTACCCTTTACACTCTCAGCCCTCGATGTGTATATATACACACTATTCCTTCTCTGTTATTTTCATGTTACATCAAGGTGACTATATACATTGATGCCATCTCCCTAGTTACATGATAAGCCAGGTGAGAGTAGAGACCTTATTAGAAAAGCCCACCAGGCCAAGAGTCTCTGGCGGGGGAGCATGCCTCTTCCCTTATGATAATCCCCCAGAACGTTTATTATTATGCCCTGCATTTGAGAGTGGGAGAAAGCAAAGGGGATGTTTAGCCCATGAACACTGCATTGACTAGCTAACTTTCATAAAATGTTTATAAAATTGGAATTGTTTCCATATCATTAAAATCACATTATATTAGAGTTATAAGTAGTCTCAGAGATTACTGAGTTTAATCACTCTCCTTAAAAATTAGAAACTCAGGGACCAAAGAGGTCATGATGTCGTGATGAAAAGGATCATCCCACACTTCCAGCAGACACCTTGACTGCAGTCTTCTGAATGACTTTGAGCCAAAAGCACCCAGCTATACCAAGGCCAAGGTACCTTTATGTACCTTTGCATAAGGTTACAAAGGTACATAAAGGTAGGGCCAGGAACAGAACATGTCTCTGAAATCGCAAGATAGTGATTTTTCTCCTTGATGCTAAAATAGATTCTAGTCCTTCCTTAAGAGCAAGGCCCACCTTCTGTCACATGCAGTAGTGTGACCATGCACAGCAATACTCTGCATGCCACTACTGCTCACCTCTGGAGCAAACAGAGCCAGCCTCCAGGGGGTCTGGAGCTCCTGCCTCACAGTCTGGCTTACCTGCATTTGTGTTTACAAAGTTGCCCTCCATTTGATAACCATGACTCTGAGTATAGTAGCACCAGGGCACACTTATGGTTCCCTGAGGTTTCCAACAGCAGCCACGCTGGTCACATGTGGCCTGAAATAAGACATTAGTCAAAGTAACTCCATTTGTTTTTAAAACACTATCATTTATAAATGTAATTTGAGCTTGCGGCATCATGAACCTCATTTTACAAATAAGGGAACTGATATCTAGAGAAATTGAACAGAGCTTGCACTCAAAACTAATTTTTCTGGCTAATGTCCTTCCTTGTTATTGTTATTATATAACAATATAGGGATCGCAACACACTCCATATCTGTCATCACAATAAAATTGATAAATTTATTTAAATATTCTAAAATACAATATAGTTATATCACCAGTAACCTAAAATTACAAATGGAACTTCATTATACTGGTTTTGGCTTTAAAAAAAAAAGACTTTGCAATCAACTTTATTCAGAAGCTTTGAAATCAAATCAATTTTGCTTTGACTTTTAAATGTGTATATTATATATATGTGTGTGTTACATATATGTGTCATATCTACGTGCATATATATAGAGACTATATATATAGAGAGAGAGTCTCTCAACTCCTCCAAAGGCAGAAAGTAATTGTTCCTTGAAACCCAAATAGATTCTAGTTCTTATTTAAGAAAGGTGCCTGCCTTATACCACAATTAATGATTGAATCTGGTGGAGACTAAAATGAATACAATCCCTTTCTCATATTAACTAATTCGAGAGAAGCAACCAGGTTAAATACAAAAAAGTACAAAGACACCTCTCCTCTTGAGTGTGAGCTAGTCCTAGTGACTTATAACTAATAGGATATGGCAAAAATAATGGGACATTGCTTCTGAGATTAGATTACAGAAAGATCGTGTCTCCTGTCTTGCTTGCTCTCTTTCACTTGCTCTGTTGGAGCCTCACTCTGGGAGAAGTGAGAGCAAGACCTGCGTGGCAAGGAAGTGAGGGAGGTTTCTGGCCAATAACTACCAAGGAACTGAGGCTGTCAGTCCAACAATCCTGGAGGAACTGAATTCTGCCAACATTCACATGAATGAGCTTGAAAAGGATCATTCCACACTTCCAGCAGACACTTTGACTGCAGTCTTCTGAATGACTTTGAGCCAAAAGCACCCAGCTATACCAAGGCCAGATTTCTGACAACAGAAACTGTGAGAAAATGTTTGTGGTGTCGAGCCATCAAGTTTTGGGATAATTTGTTATGCAACAACAGATAACTAATATATCCTGCTACGTTATTTACAGATGGAGAAACTGAGGCCCACAGAGGTAAGGTTCACAGAGGTGAAGTAACCTGCCAAAGCTTACTTAGTAGCTTTCGAGAAGACAAGGACCAAAACTTAGTTCTCTTGCTATTCATTTCCCTTCTTCCATATTCTGGGTTGAATATCTACTAAGCACATTTTCAGGAGGATGTAGCAATGCCTTGCAAATGATAAGACAAAAAAAATTTGCTTACATATACGAACAATTAGATTTAACCAAATGCTAATTTTTATGCTAGTAGCCAATATTAAGGATGGAAAAACTATGTCCATCTGTGGTTTATACTGCCATGGGATCAGGTTTCACTGTGTACTCAACTTCGATCAGCAGTTTTGTTTTTTCCTTTCAAAACCCACTCAGCTGAAACTTCAGTATAACAGGAAAAGAGAAAGGTGCTGAAAAGGGTGTTGCCCAGAATGGTTTTGTATGCTCCCAAAAGCTTAATAATTTCTTCACTGAACTGGAAAGGGCAAAGATCAAAGAGTGGCCAAAGCAGCAAGAAAAGTGAACAGTCTCTGTTGGCAACTTGAAAACACCAGCTCCCGTAGCGGAGCGAAGCAATTACAAGGAGAAGTGGAAAGAGAAGCATACAAACAAGAGAGTAAAAAGCATGTGAGACCTAGGAAAACAGTTGCAGAGAAAAGCTATAAAAAATGACAACATGAATAGGATTGAAGGCACACAAAAGAATCAGACCCAAGACACAAAATACCTGTTTAAGTCGGACATGAGAATTAAAATTTAAGAGAAACTATCAAAATAATATAGAATGTATAACTGCCAATACATATTGAGGGAAAAACTAAGGGGAAAAATCCTAAATGTAAAAAAATAAGGAAAGAAGACATGAATATGGGGATGGTGGCAGAGTAGGGAGCAGTACATAAAAGACAGAACAAATGGAAAACACAAAATGAGACAGAAGAAAAATTGTCATGTCGGTTAACACATGGTTTAAATACTTAATTTAGAAGACAAAGATAGTCAGATTACATTTAAAGAAATAAATTCAGCTAAAGTTGCTTATGGGAGGCACGCCCAAAATTTAAGCTCACAAAAGCACTGAGAGTAAAAGAGGAAAAGAGACACGTGAGAAGAATGCGGACCAAGGCCAGTATCATGATGGTAACATCGGACAAGTGGACTCGCAGTAAGAATTCATTATTAGGGAGACAGAGTCACTACACGATGATAGAAGGTTCAGCTCACCAAGAAGATACATCTCAAACTTGATATGTACCTAATAATAAAGACTTAAAATATTTCCAGAAAAATTTTAAAGAATCACAATGTCAAACTGAAAAAGTACATAATGGAATATTTTTAAAGAGCTCCCTCAGTAATTGATAGATAAAGGAGACCAAAGAGTAAAGATATTTACATAATAGATATATATAGGATCCTGCACCAACACAAAGAGAAGGACTAAACTGAACTCAGAGAGGGAAACCAAATCCTAAAGACACTGTTTAAGACCTAATCAGCCTCTGCTCCACCCAAGGCCTATTCTTCTCCAACCCCAATGCTTCTTAACACTAAAAAGAGAAAGAGAGGAAAATAAACAAAGATGGAAGTATTTTATACCAAAATTAGACATGGAAGAAAAAAAACTAGAGCCCAGTCTTATCCATGAACATAAGTGCAAAAGCCTAAAAGAAAAAGGAAGTTCGGCTTTAAGAGAAATCAGCAACATATTAAATAACGACCAGGTAGCGCTTCTTCCAGAAATAACAGATCCTTCAATATTAGAAAATCCACTGTGTAATTCATCATAACAACTTGATAAAGGAAGTACACTGTACAATCATTTAAATTCATCAGCTATTCATGATAAAATTCTTAGCAAATTGGCAATAAAAAGTAACTTTCTTAGTTGAATAATGGGTTTCCTCCAAAAATCTGCAATAAGCATCTCACTAAATGGCAAAGTGTTAGAAACATTCCCTTTAAAATCAGAAAAAAGCCTAGGTGACCCATGTTTATGAATTTTTTTTTTTTAATTTAGTGTGTGCGTGTGTGAGGAAGATCAGCACTGAGCTAACACCCATGCCAATCTTCCTCTTTTTTTTGCTGAGGAAGACTGGCCGTGAGCTAACATCCATGCCCATCTTCCTCCACTTTATATGGGACGCCGCCACAGCATGGTTTGACAAGGGATGTGTCAGTGCGCACCCGGGATCTGAATACAGGCCACCAGCAGCGGAGAAAACACAATTAACCGCTACGCCACGGGGCGGGCCCCTATGACTTTTTATAATTAAAAATATATTGGAGGTCCTAATAATACAATAGGACAAGAAAAGAAAGGAAATTTATAAGATTGAAAAGGATGAAGCCAAATTATCATTATTTCCAGACATAATATTTTCCAGGTAGAAACCCAAGAAAATTTATACAAATAAAACTAAAATAAGTTAATTATCATTAGATCCTTTATTTTCTTCTTAAAGTTGTAACTTTTTCCGAAAGCAAGGGGCAAAAGGTTAGAGTTGCCACTAGGAGATGGGGGAGGCTATAGGAGGAGCAGGTTTGGGTATGTAAATGTGGGAGATGAAGGGTTCAATTTTGACATGCTGGTTTTGAGCTATCTATTAGACATCCAAGTGGAGATGCTGAATTGGCAGTTGCATAGATAAACGTGGAATTCAGGAAAGTGATTTAGGCTGGAGGCATTAACTGTGATATGTAAGCACATAGGAGTTGCCATTTATAAACATGATACTGGATGAAATCATCAGGAGATTGAGTGTGGACAAAGAAGAGATTTTACAACATTTAGAGGTCATATAGAAGCAGAGGAATAATGAAAGAGGTCAAAAGGTACAAATTTCCAGTTATAAAATAAATAAGTCATGAGGATGTAATGTACAGCATGGTGACTATAGTTAATAATACTGTATTGCATACTTGAAAGTTGCTAAAGTTCTTATGACAAGGAAAAAAATTTTTAACTATGTATGGGGACAGATGTTAACTAGACTTAACTGTGGTGATTATTTTGCAATACACAACAAATATTGAATCGTTACATTGTATACCTGAAACTAATATAATGCTATATGTCAATTATATCTCAATTTAAAAAAAAAAAAGAGGAAGAGAAGGAATCAGCAAAGCAGACTGAGAAAAGAAGTGGCTGTTAGTTTGGCCACAAATGAAGGGTATGTGGTGTCCTGTGAAGACGGGTGTTCACCCAGAACTGGCCCTTGGATATAACTCTGGCATTATCAGCAGCTACAATTGCAGACAATTTGAGCTGAGCATTTCTTCTCCTCTTCAGGTTTAAGCTACCCACACTTTAGCTCTTTTTGGATCATCCATCTTGCCTCAAGGTATAGTGTTCATAAATTATCAGCTTCTGTGGAGAGGAGAATATCTGAGCTTATTAAACAGGCAGTTAGTAACACGTGGGGAATTGCCTTAGCAGTTCAGGAAAAATCTAGGGGGAGAAGAGAAAAACATGTTCAAAGCTGAATGTTGGGGGCTAAAAGTCATATTAAATTGATTATTAAAATCCATTTTATACCCCATGCTGGTGAAAACTTGTTTATTAGAACTAAACTTCCATATTATAGTAAAATACTTTATATAAAATAATATTCCTTTAGAGCATTCAAAATGCTCTCAGTGCCTTCTTGCCTCCTATTGATAGGCTAGTAGTAATAATTTTTTAAAAGGTGTAACTTTTTCCTTTTCAGCTTTAGGCCTTCAACCTTCCTGGAATTGTTTTTGAGATATGATGTAATATAGGAGTATATAAGTTTGACTTCATCATTAAAATATAAAACTTCTGTT